AGGAAATCCAGTTGATTTTAGCATAAGAGAGATAAATACTAGGGTGGATCAAAGTGACAGCACAACAGTGAACATTATGATCAAGTGTCTCTTTTTTTCAACTTTCAGATTTTGTGTGCTATGAACTCAATTGCTCCCCTCCCCGAATTTGCATGCTGCAACCCCAACCACCCACATGGGATGACATTTGGAAATAGATCTTTAGGAGATAATTCAGTTTAGGTGAGGTCATGAGGGTGGAGTCCTCATGATGAGAATTCTGCCCTTATGAAAAGAGACACCAGAACGCTTGCTTTGTCTTCAGAACTGTAAGACATAAATTCCTTTTGTTTAAGCCACACAGTCTATGGTATTTTGTTATGGCAGCCTGAGCTGACAGACACTGTGTATGTACTTTCTCAAGTGTTATATGGATTTAGAAGTTGTCAGAATTATTTTGCATATGTAATAGGCTGTACTTTTAATCTTCTAAATCGTAAAATTATTTATATTATTCGTTAATTTTTATAATCAATGATGCCCAAAGAGGCCTTAATTTCTTAGGCCCCTTTCACTTTCATTATCTGCATCAGCAATTTGTTATTTAGGGCCATTTTGGAGGAATCCTCCCTCTTTAAAAATAAATTCTTTGCCACTTGTCAACACTTGCTGCCTATGTATCCAGTGGAGAAAGGTCTGTGAAGATGCAAATGCTGATTGGTTGGTAGGCACCCTCACCAGAAATTGTTCACTCCAGGCAACCTCTTAGATCAACAGTCCTGACATAGTCACTTAGTATCACAGGCGTCTCAAATTTAACATGTCCAATATTCTTGATTTGGCACTATCTCAAACTGCTCTTCCTCCAGTCTTCACCATGTCATTGAAGGGCAAATCCTAAATACCAGGAAACCCTGCTGGCTATACCTTAAAAACAGAAAAATAATCTCACTACTTCTTACCATCTCAACTGCTATACCCTAGTAAGTCATTATCATCTCTAGATTACCAACAGATTGCTAACAGATCTTGTTTCTACACTAACCCCCTTCTGTCTATTGTCAACACAGCTGAAAGAATGAGCCGTCCTAAATCGTATCATGTTCCACTTAGGTTCCAAACTCTTCAGTGGCTCTGTATCACACCCACAGTATAAAAGAAAATACTTACAACGGTCTGTAAAGCCCTGCATGATCTGCTCTAATGTCCCTGCTCTGCAGCCACTCCTACTACTCTCCCTCTTGCTCAAACTATTCTGGGCTCACTGGCTTCCTTGCCATTCTTCAAATAGATCAGGCAGGCTTTTGCTTTATGACCTTAAGTATAGCTCTTTGTGGAAATCTCTTCCTATAGATAAGTACAAAGTGTCTAACTCATTCATGAACTCAAGTTTTTGCTCAAATCTTGCCTTTTCAATAAGGTTACCCAAGGACTCAATTTAGAGCTAGAACCTACTCTCTCATCTCCCTACCCTTAAACTTGACTTAGGTTTCCTTATTTTTCCATAGCATTTATCACCTTCTCACATGGTTTATAATTGACTTATTCATTATCTTTACTTACTACTGTCTGTTCTCCCTGCTAGAATGTAAGCTCCAGAAAAGCAAGGACATTCTTCCCCTCCTATTGATGTATGTTTTCCATGTCTGAAGTGGTGTTACATCATATATGTTCAATAAATAATTGTTGAATAAATGAATTATTCTACCTAAATGAAATTTCTTAGTGATTTAAAATAAATTCCATTAATGTTGATTTTCATTAGCTGGTTTTTCTTATTTATTACATATACATGATTTATATGAGAAAAGTAGGCTCTGGCTTTGTGAGTTAAATTTGCTGAGGAGCTGTGACTCTTGTCTCTCCCTCATTTATATAGTGGAAAAGAGAAAATGAGGTGGTAACAGATAGGAAAAAGAACTGCAATTAATTTATTGTTTGTATTTGACTGGCAAATGTGCCAGTTAATTGAATATCTAAACTTATGATAAGGCCAATGCCATCAATATTCAGAAGAAATTCCATAGTTGGACATAATCCTGTAAGCTTTATGGTCACCAGAAAGGATGTATCCTGAGTAAGAGAAGTAATTAAATTGGCTAATCTTGGTCAAAACAATGCATTTCCTTGACTATTTCTCTAGTTATATTTTCCACTGCCATTTAAAAACTTTTAAAGCCTTTTTTTTTCTTTTTTGGTGTGAATACTTTTATTATATTCTGAAATACAGTACTATGGTTGGGGGTGGAAAGGAAAGGGAACATAAAATATTTAAGAGACCATATTCTGCGGCTTAACTCTCAGCTTTGTTAGTCACTATGCAACTGCAGTTGTGGGTAAATGAAATACAATTCTCCACCTTACTTTTCACATCTGTGAAATGGGAATAATAGCACATACCTAATAGAGTTGTTTTGAGCAGTAACACTTCACAACACACAGTGCCTGGTACACAGTATTCACTCTATAATTATTTTTATAAGATAAAGAGGATTTTATTAAAATAAAATATTTAAAAAGCAATTTTTTATTATACATGACATTTTTGTAAAATACTATTGTTCATAGTATTAACTTGACTCATGGAGACAAATAAACATTACTATTATTTAAAAAAATAACGCTATAGGCTTATTTGAATTTTTATACTAGAAAATTTTTATTTATTTATTTATTTATTTTTTTGAGACAGAGTTTTGCTTGTTACCCAGGCTGGAGTGCAATGGTGAGATCTCGGCTCACCACAACCTCTGCCTCCTGGGTTTAGGCAATTCTCCTGCCTCAGCCTCCTGAGTAGCTGGGACTACAGGCATGCACCACCATGCCCAGTTAATTTTTTGTATTTTTAGTAGAGATGGGGTTTCACCATGTTGACCAGGATCGTCTCGATCTCTTGACCTCGTGACCCACCTGCCTTGGCCTCCCAAAGTGCTGGGATTACAGGCATGAGCCACCGCGCCCGGCTATACCAGAAAATTTATAATTTGAAACACTAGCTTTAGGGAAAGAGATGCTGTGTTGTTCAAAGTCCTCCTCTGCATCTTCATGGTAGGAACTTTCTTTGGTAGCCCTTTCTCTAAGTTAAGAATCAGGAACTGTGAAGGATCTGATACTTTACCCTATTTGTAAACAAACAAGTAGAGTGCCACAGTTTCATAGAAGTTGGCAGAATGCATGAGATTCCTGAGTCAGATACAAAGAACTTTATTACTCCAAGGATAATAGGCAGCATGAGCTTCATACTTCCATAGATTCCTTTCGCTCCAAAGTCCCACAGGGCGAAAAGGAGCTGCTAAATGGGTGCTATACCTGTTTTGGGTTTGTTATCCAACTGGAAGAACTCCATGCTTAGGAAAGTCCTAAGAAGGCTGCTAGCAAGCCTACCCAAACTTTGTCCTGGCAGGAAATAGTATATTTGAAATTAAATGTGCAGAAAGGCAAGAAACCCATGGGGACTTAACTCCCAACTACACAAATGCAGTTGCATCAATAAGGCTATTTTCATGAAAAGAAGATGCACAAAAGTTTGACCAGAGTTAGACTAATATTGTAAATGCAAACACTCAATCCTTTCTAAGCATTTCTTTGAATATGTAGTTAATCATTTGGAATAAAATTTTGCAATGCTTTGTTCTTTCTTGTGCTTTCTCACTTGATACCTTCATAAGCCATGCCTTTTTTCCCTCTTATTAAGTAGGTTTTACTCTTCCCGTCTATGTATTTATGCCAATAATTTAACCTTAGTGGCTTAATTATTTCTTACAATATTGAAGAAACTTACACTTTCCCAAGAGTGGCTTCCACATCAGCAATCTTCCTTTCTCTCTGCCTTTTCCTCTGACAATAGTTTCGCAAGTCTAACATCCTCCTCTGTAGCATAGCAAACCTACCTAAACTTTGCCCTGGCAGGAAATAGTATATTTGAAATTAAATGTGCAGAAAGGCAAGAAAACCACGGGGACTTAACTCCCAACTACACAAATGCAGTTGCATCAATAAGGCCATTTTCTATTTTTCAAATAGATACTCAGCTCTACAAGGCCGATTTCCTTTGTGAATAGTTAACACTTTTTTTTTGACAGCCTTATTTTTAAGAAACATGGTAGCCCTTCTCTTGTTCTTGAGATAACTCAAAATAATATAATTTGATCTTTTTATTTAGTTGGTTTCATTTCTACAGCTTCCCTGTCCTTTTAAAGTCAGAGCTACAAAATTCATTTGAGTTCCAGAGATAAATCAGACTTGTCCATTGCTATTATTAATAAGTCAAAGTAATTGAACATTTAACAAGAGTTTGCCCAAAGGCTGATTGAGATTATGTGCCAGACACCTTCTATATTATCAGTGTATAAACAGCAAATAACTTTTTAGTATATATTCACATCCTGTGCAATATTTGGGACACACTTACACTAAAAAACAATTTATTTGGAAATCAAATTCAACTAGATAACCTGTTTTTTTTTTTTTTTTTTTTTTTTTTTTTTTTTTTTGCCAAATCTCACAATTCAGGTCACCATTTATCTACCAAACAATATCAATAACTTGTTGGTACAATGTGGCCTCAAGTGGGTTTTGGCACAGAAGCACTCCCCTTAGAGCACAGGTGTGGTACTGGTTGCAAAGTTTTGATGTGACATCAACACTATACAAAAGTAAATGTAACTGCAAATTTGAAATTCACAAATGGATCTTTGAAGTCCAGCTCAAAAGAGTGGAGGAATCGGTTAAAATAAGTCACAGACTTGCCGGTTTGGGGTTTCCAGAAAAAAAAAGTAACTTGAACAGTTGAGAGCTTGGAGACCTTTCCAAAGAGCGTGAGAAGTTAACAAAAGGCTTCTTCACGAGTTAGAAGGAGAGAGCGCGAGAACCTGAGCGAGCCAATAAGCAGGGACTGGCTGGGCTCCCGACGGGTGTAGCCAATCAGGGCAGAGATGGGTGAGGCTAGGCTGAGGGAAGGGGCGGACTGCAGTAGAATTGGCTCCGAAGTGCGGGACTCAGCCAATCGGAACCGGGCGGGGTGGGGCTGGACTGCGGAAGGGGGCGGGTTCGGAGGAGTGAACTGTGCCGTTAGTGTGTCTTTCAGCCTCACCTGCAGCTGCACCTCCCTGCACCTGCATCTTTGCTTTCCTCCCTGCACAGCGACGCTGACTCGGAGTGTGTCGCTCGCTGCGCTCGTCATGGCCTACCCGGGATACGGAGGAGAGGTGAGTCCCAGCCTCTTGGCCGTGTCTCTCTCCCTCGCGGGATGTGGCGCCCCCGGGGGCGGTGCCAGCGTGCGGGTCCGCCCGCGGCTCCTGCTCCCTGCGTCAGTGCCTGGTACTCAGCAGCGCCGGTACTCGGGAGATGTTGGGAACCAGGGCCGGGGTGAGCGTTGACCCTGGGATGACTTGGAGATCAGGCGTTCTTGAGGTCCCTCGAGGAGCATCCTGGTGGATCCGAGGGAGCAATGTGTGTTTGGAAATTTATTTCCTGGAATGGAGGAACAAGCCGCCCTCTTTTTGTTCCAGTAATCTTTTGTGGTACATCAGTCCCCCCCCCGCCCCACACTCAGTGTTGCTAGAGATCCTCTTTCTGAATTTCTTAACCACTTCTTGTTCATTAAGTTCCTTATGAATAAATTAAGGTGTATGGTAAATGACTCCTAATCTTTACTGTTATTCGAAGAGCAATCTGTTTAGACTGTCTCCCTCGACCCCAGGCGGGGGCAAGTTGCTCTTTCTTATAACTTTTATCCTACATCACCTTTAGAAGTTGCAAGCTGTAATCCTAGTGTCCTGGTAGCTACCCCCTTATTTTCAAAAAGGAACCCAAACCTTTGGTATTGATGTCAGTGATCTCCAAAGTGCGGTGAGCGAGCTGTGTTAACAAAGTTAACATTAGTTTGATCCACTGCGGTGTGGGTAGAAGATAATATATTTTCTAATTTTATTATATATATATTTTTTACCTAAAAACAGAAATTGTGTTTTACTGATTTTAACAAAGGACTTGATTTGGGCTATGGTTGTGGTCTTCAAAAGAATTACTCCTACCCCTGGGAGTTCATGGTTTTTGTTGTTGTTTTAGGGTATGAATTTTCAGGTCCTCAACTTTCACACATATTCGTTCCTAAAATTGATTTGCTTGAAATTCAGACTTGCCTCAGTTCCTTCTGGCACCTTCCTCTTTGTAATGCCTACCCCTCCTCATTCCTTAAATTTAGTAAGGAAGTTTAAAGTGCCTAAGGAATGTAAAGCCCCCTTCAAAGGTTAGTTAAGATAGCATAAACCTGTAGGGCTTTAAAAATGTCCCTAGCTTATACTTATTTTCATTTGGTTGAAGCTATCTGTTAGAAGTGTGATATGTTTACCTTTGTTGGTATGCTCTGAATTCATATATATGAGATAAAATGGTGTGGCAAGAGTAATATATTTTCATTCAAATAATTTGCTGCTTCCTTATCCAACTTTTGTCAGAGTGCTTGAACTTGATGGAGAGTTCCACAACATAATAATAATAATAATAATAATAATAATAAAAAGTCTGTGTTTTGAGCATTTAAATTCCCTTTTCCATGTATTTGAAATAAACAGCTATTTTCAGCTGTTATGCTTGTTATTAATAGCCGGAAAGAGAAGCAATATAGATTAGAGGCACTGATTTAAAAAATGTAATTGAAATATTTTAAGATACATTGGATAAAAATTTGGGATAAAACTTACATAATTTCTTTAATAGGAGTATATTAATAAGAGAGTTGAGACTTTTATAAATCATGTTAAATAAAGGCAACCTCTACCTTATTAATGTTTCTTATATTCTTTTAACAAAATGTAAAATGTTAGCTGCTGGACCTAGTTGTTTTAATAGTATACTTTTATCTAATTAAGTGCATGATTCATCTCTGTAGGAGATGCATTTCCAATAGATATTTACTTTATTTTTCTAAGTATTGTTTATCAAAATTGTATTTTTTTTTACTAATTGTATACTAATAAAAATTATAACTCAATTGTAAAGGACAGTTTTTTTTCTTTTTCTTCATTGCTCATTTTGGTCACAGGAAATGAAACAAAATCTAAAACTTTGTAACATGTTTTTATTGTACATGTTGTATTATACAGGCTTCAGAGTTTACAATAATAAAAGCACAATTTAAGCACAAAAACTTACACAGATTAGATTTTCACACAAGAAATAGCAAAAAAATGAATTCAAAAAATAAAAGAAAACATAAAACTTATAAATTTTATGTAATAGCCTTTTTAGGTCTGTTTAAAAATGGAGGGAACAAGTACCAGACTATCATAGTGTATAGATGACACTGTGTGTGTGTGTGTGTGTGTATACTCTATTATAGTGTGTATTACTATATATGATACTGTGTATGTGTATTATGCTATTTTACACTATTATATATACACTATTATACATATATACACACTATTATATATATGCTTATATATACACTATTATGTAGTAATACATACTGTTTATATTTACACACTATTATATAGTAATATACACACTAAGCTGCTTATGAATAATATATTAAGCAATACATTAAGTATTATATAATAATACACACTGTCATAGTCTGTATATATACATATTATGTATTACATATAATACATACTATAGTATACACACTATAAAATACACAATATTATATATAGTAATACACACTATAATAGTGTGCATATATATACATATAAAAGTGTGTACTTTCCAAAGAGTGATGTAAAATTTTGTAAATGTCAAGATTTACAATGTGTTGGTCATCGTATTCTTTACAACTATTTAAACTTAAAAACTTTATATGTCAGTATCAAATATTGGAAAAGGGTATATAGTTTTTCAAAAACCTTTTAAGGAGAGGGAAGCAAAATGTTTAAAGAAACTGCTGTGGTTCTGATAATATCCTGAGGGATGAGATAGAGTTTTGTATGCTGGCCTCTCACTGGCTTATTTTCAGCTTATTGTGGCTTATTACAGTTTATATATGTGGGATTCTCTGAAGTTATAGATTATGTGATCTACTTTTAACTTAGTCTCTCACAAAATAGCAATAGTAAAGATTCAAAAGCATGCAAAACAATATGAAAGGCTTGTACATGAAAATATTGTTTAAGCCTTTCTTTAATCACATTACATATTAGTAATAATAATGATCAATTTTGACTATTTGAAACTATTAAGAGGACAACTTGAAATATGAATTTATGTAAACCATGTTTAGGGATGAACCTTGTTGGCCAGGGCCCCAGTTCTCCTCCATATGGGCCCTTTCACATGGCTCTTCCACTTCTTCATAGCATGGCGGTCAGGTTCTAAGAGAGAGAAACAAAAGTTGCCAGTCCCCTTAAAATCTTAAATCTGGAACCGCCATGATGCCTTTTGTACTGTATTCTACCAGATAATGCTGAAACAGGCCCAGCCCATATTGAAGTAGGTGGAGAAATTGTTTGTGCTTTTGGACAAGGGGAGTGGCAAAGAATTTGTAACCATCATTAATCTGACCACCAGCTTCTCAAATTATGGGATATGGGAAAGTTAATGTTGCAAATTGGGAGGGGAAAATAGATTAAAGGTTATTCCTAAGGACAGATTCTTCATATAATACTGCTTGCCTGACTTTGATTAAGAAACAAGTTGTGTTTGTCCTTCACAAATGAAGATGCTGCAGTTAAGGGTCCATAGCCAGTCTTGAGGCACCATCTCTGCATTAGCTTTTCACCAATGTGCTTGTACTTTGTTTGTCTTCTCTTTTCAAGCAAAGGTTTTTCAGTTTTTCTTCCTTTTGCAAAGCTTAAGGTAAGGAGGTTCATCAATAAACCTTAAATTTAAATTCTAGGATATAGGCTAGGACTTCATTGTCCTCCATGTCCTTGGAGGTCTTGAAACCAAAGCCCAGGTATGTGTTACTGCCACATGTTCTCAGAGTAAAAGCTGTTTTGGGAATTTTGCTAATTTTTTACCTGTGGGTTTAGATTTATCCCCAGATATTGGCCTGGAAATTTCCTCTTATCAGTACTCTTGAGAAGATGTTAAAATAATGCTTAATGAAACTGTTTGTTTTCAGTATTAGGGTGGTTTGAATTAGCATGCCATTATTAAAAGTAGGAAGGTGTTTTTTTTCTCTTGAGTTAGTGTTTGTAATTTTGGTACTTTTATAAGTTCCTTTTCATCTATATTTATCCCAATTTCAAATATATTGGTATAAAGATATTCATATTTGTTTATATATATCATATATACTTATGTACAGATGTATTAAATACATATTTCTTTCAAATTCTATTTGTGATTATATATCCTTTTTTTATTTCTGAAATTGGCCTGTTCTTTCCTGGTCAGTTTCTTTTCTTCTTTTCAAAGAGTTATTTTTGATTTTTAATATATTCTGTTTTAGTGTTTACTGTTTTTTTTCTTTCTCAGACCTCATTGCTTCATAATCTAGATTTTGACCACCTCTGCAAACACATTTCTTAGAGCTCCAACACTTCCTCCATTAACTCGCCCTCACTTCTCTTTCTGCAGCTGTTCAAACTACTTGTGAATAATCTTGATATCACTTCCTCCTAAAAATGCTAAGTAAAATGCCTTTTTAAGGTATTAAAAATGTATACCATTTCCCAAAGTGAAAAGAAATGAAGAGAGCCATAGCAGTAAATAAGTAAGTGTGTAGCTTCTGGGGTCAGATTGTCCATATATATTTGATTACACTTGAGCTCCAGGAGGTTGAGGCTGCAGTGATCTCTGATTGTGCCACTGTATTCTAGCCTGGGCAACAGAATGAGACCCTGTGTCCAAAAGAAACAAGCAGACAGGAATAATGCTTAGTATATAAAATGACTTAATAAATATTAGTTGCTTATTGTTATTGATATTCTTGTTATTCATTTTGAAGAGGATAATGGTTATACCTAGTCTGTGGTTGGAATTATCATTTTATTGATCTTTTCATTGTCATCTTGCTTTTTAAGAAAGTTTTCTGGTGGAAGTCGTGTATCAGCTCAGAGCACTTTCCCATTAGGTCACAATATCATTGTATTTACCCATGTATTCTTTTAAGTATGTGCCTTAAGGTGTACTTCTTAGTTTTGTTTTAGGTAAAATCTTGCATTTCTTTTTTTTTTTTTTTTTTTTTTTTTTTTTTTTTTCTGGGTTTAAATTAATTTTTTTTTTTTTTTTTTCTTTTTTTTTTTTTTTTTTTTTTTCTTCTTTTTGTTTACTTCAGGGATAAAAGTAAACATTTTTTTAAATTGTGCCTCATGTTCTTCTGTTGAATTAAGTTCTTAGAGGCTAGTAACTTTCTTTTTTCTTTTACACTTCTTTTAATATTGGGTAATATATGTTAATGAATTGAATTATGTCTTAATGTAGGACATCTAGCACTTTGTAGTTAAAGTTTTTGTGACAGATAGTTAAGATTAGAAGCTTTTGGTAACTGTGTTTACTTTTTGATGTCCTTCTGATGATTTCTTTTAATCCACTTTTATAGATAATAGGTAATATTTGTATTACTAACCTTCTCCCCTTCCACTCTTATAGTTTGGAAATTTTAGCATTCAGATACCAGGAGCAGGTCCAGACGTGATCCTTGGTGGATTCTCTGGGTACCCAGCATATTCAGACCCTTATTCCTCAGCTGATGACCCCATGTATGCTTACTTCAGTGCTGTTGCTGGACAGGTGAGATGCTAAATTTATTGCATGTTTTTAAAAATTATTATTTAAGAGAAATGCCAGCTGTTTTACTTAGGATATCATTTAAAATGATATTAATTTTATATTTTAAATTTATCTAGACTAATTTTCTTCCTGAGATCAGAGATAAGCATAGTCATAATTATTTCATTTTAAAAGTCTATAGATGTGATGCTTGACATACTGTTCATTTGACTAAAAGAGAAAACATTTTTTTTCATAGTGGGGAAATGCGATTCTTTCTTACCTAGTATGCTTGCCTTACTGAAATTCTTCTACAAGGGGCTCCTCTTACCAGTCACTAGCACTCCACCAAAACGCATATATTAATATCCTCTTATGAGTTACCATTTTTATATCACTTAAATGTTTTTATTTCTTTCAGTCTGTTTGACATTTAGAAGCACCATACTCTCCCTGAGCAATTGATAACACAAAGCTAAGTAGGTTTAGCCTGTCCATTCTTTTATAGCATGCAAAAATGAGTATTGGAAATTTGAGGAAGGTAGAAAGTACTTAGAACAGTTATAAGGAACAATATTTCTATCTTGGGCCTCACTCCTATTTAAAAAAAAATCTCAGTTAAAACCTAGGTATGTCAAACAATATGATTGAAAATCACGTCAGAATGTTATACATTTATTCAAGTTGGTAATTACATTTTTCACAGATGAAGTTATGTCATTTACAGTAATCTTGTTTGTGTATGGGTGGTAGATTTTCCAGATTACCAAAAAAATCATGTTGGGATTTATTTTTATCTATTAAAAATTAAAGTAAATAGTTTATTATGTTTGTTGTGGTATGCTATTAGGATACTATTAGTTTCCAGTAAATGTGAGAGATTATTTAAAAGGCTGACTTTCTGATGCCCAATAGTCAATAGGGAAGGGTGAGCCTGCCAATTCAAGTACTTTAGTTCTGTGGGTGAATTGTAACTGACGATATGTGAATACTGTGGTCAGGTGAAGCTTTTCTTTTACTCCTCCATAACTGTGACACTATGCCACAATTTATTTTTTTAAGTAATTTTATACGTATTTTTCATGTGAAATTTCAAGGAAAATTAAGCAAATATGATATGTATTATAACCCTTTGTATAACTTATTAGTTGTATTTGACAGAAGTGTTGAGTAAATATTCACAATTGGAAGGAATGCCAATTCAATTCACAATTGGAAGCAATTAAAAGATTCCAATTTCTTCCAAATTAATTAATAAATAATGTAATATTATTTGAGTCAAATTCCTAAAGGTTTCTTCTTTTTTTTTGGCACTTTCTGCAATGAATCTATAGTCTGTCTTGTACGCTATGTTATTGAGAATAAATATTAAATTATAGTATATCATAATATAAATGTATTATAAAAATTAGTAATTGCGATAGTGTGGTCCTAATGTAAAAACAAACATGCTGAAGAGCCTAGAAACTTAACTGTGAATTCAATATATGGTGAAGGTAGCATTTCATATCAATGGGGAAAGAATGATTTCTGAATTAACTATCCTGAAATAATTAACAATTTACCTAAAAGTAAATGTGTATCCCCATCCCATACCGTGTAGTAGCATTAATTCCAGATATATCAAAGGATTGAAAAGAAGGTATATTGGTGTTTATCTCCTATTGTTGAAATAAATGACCTTTTCGGTTTTTTGCTGCTTTACTGTGTACTGCAGTGCCTGCTATATTTGTGTTTTTGTTTATTTGTGTTTCCGTATACAAAACTTCTTAGAAGAGTGATTAACTAAGATAGTTGTATGTGTTAGTGAAACATTTGGAAGCATTGTCTTTTTAAGATGTGCTTTTTTTTTCTTGGTATGTTTCCTTTACTTGTTTAACAATTTTGGTAGGAAATTGAAAGCTTTTCTGGGTTTATGGAATACAATGGATTGGTGTATGGAGACTGTGGGCCAGAGAGGAAGTGGAAAAAGAGATCTACATGAAAATCATCTTGAGGTAGTTGGGGCAATGTATCAGAGAGGAGATTGGTAAACTGTGGATGATTCCGGGACAGGCTTTATGGTGAAACAGATTAGGAAAAGGTAAAGAAACTGGCAGAATGAGTTTCCAACACTAGACTAATGGGCAGAGACAGAATTTCACTCTTGAGTCTTAGCTGCAGACCATATCTCTTTTCTTTTATAATGGTCAAGAAGGATTTATTGACATAGGTAGAATTTTATAGAACATTAATAACATTTTATTCATTCCCTTGAGTGTTCACTAGGTCTAATATGCTATTTTAGGAATAGACAATATGCACAGAATTAATATATATGGCAGACATTCTTTTTTGGCTATCCCAGATTTGTTTACAACCTCCTTTTACTTTTTTTTTTTTCTGTATTAGAGGCTGGGGAACTATACTACTCACCATCCCAGAAAGCTTTGTAGCTACTAAAGGCAGCCATGTGTCATAGGACTGACTATTGACAAGCGGGTGCAGTATCTTTGGAAAATCTTTCTATCTCAAATGAAAAAAAGCCTTACTGGGAGCAAGCCTTGGCTGTTTTTGCTCCTTCATTATGGAGGTACATCTGCCATCTTGTGACCCTGAGACACAGGCTTGAGATAAAGACCTATACATAGGGAATGTGGAAAAATGTAGAGATTGTTGACATGTCTAAGTTGGCATACAGCCCTGTTCTGCCTAGCCTGAGATTTGTTGTATGAAACAATATACCCCTATTGGCTAAACATCTTCAGTAATATTTTCTGCTGTTTGCAGCTAAATGGGACCCTAACTGTTATATTCTTTATATCATTGTCATTTTAAAAGATTATACTGGGAATAAGTACTATTATACTGGGAAAAATCTATTATCTCTGTTTGACTATATAATACATTCATATAAAATCACAGAGTTTATGAACTGGGCATATATTTGGAGACTTTTTGACTTTTTCTGAACTATTTCATCATTTTAATTGTCAGCAATAAGTTTGTTATGTTTGAACTATTTGATACTTTCCTTAAATTTTCCAGTCTTGTGCTTTTGAATAAATAAACTCCATGAAGACAGGGTTCTGGTCATATTTTCCCTTACTTGACAGATAGGTACTAGTAATTTAGAGACATTTGATAAATATTTTGAATGGATGCACTAACTATCCCATTTTCAATTTTTAGTCTGAATATTGAGACTGTATTCTTTCATATGTTGAGTTCTATCTAGCCTTGAGGGATTAGGTGTAATATCTAACTTACGTATACTGCTCCCAGAACCCAGCTACTGAACTCATATCTATAGCCGTATCCTTTTTGGACGGGCCTCATATAATTAATTATGCTCTATGAAAAACATCTGATTAAAGGTTTCTGCAATGTTCTTATTTATAGGATGAAGTATTCCAAACAGTAAGAGTTCAATCATCAGTTAATTTGGGGAAATTCCGGTTTTGTGTTTATACCTACATAAACGGGCATTACAATAATACCAACAACTTTAACTTTTGTATGCACACTGCTTCTGCTTTTCTACTCGGCAGCCGTGATGTGGGCATGACACATGTACCTTTATATTATAGATAAGTAAGTGAAGACTCAAATTGAGAAACTGAACAAATAGGACTTGAAGTTGGATATTATTTTAAAATCTTGCTGCCTAACCAAGGGCAATTGATTTTTATTGATTCTCTACCTGATGCTCTTGTAATTTACTTAGGAAATTCAGCTTTCTATCACTAATGCTACCTAATTCAGTTAAAGGTTTATGTAGTTAACCTGATCATCAGCTTCTACTATAGGAGAAGAAATTCAAAAGTATCACTTGGATTTTATACATGTAGTTTAGGAAGATGTTGCTTATTTGTGAGTTAGTCATTAAGATAACATGTTTTCATAACATCTATGAAGTATATACTAGCAGAGTGCTTTTTGATGGCAATGAATAACTTCCAGCAAAACTGTTCTGGTTGTTTTCCAACTCCAAAAATTCTGAAAAGAGTTCCATTCATTGTACGAATTTTTATATGTAATTCACATTTGAGTGAGAAATTCCAATCTTTTTAACCTTCTGAAATAGTAAATGAACATGGTCACAGTAAGAAATGCCAGCAGTTTAGCGACGAACCAGTGGTAGTTGTCTTCATTCTACCAAACAACTAACCTTCTTTATACTAGATACTCTGCGAGAGCCTCGAATACAAAGATGAAGGAGACTCAGACACTGACTCAGAAGATCTTTATGCAGTCAGGGAGATACAGACACATAGAAAATGATAACAATATAGGGACAGATGTGCTAAAGGTGAACAGGTGAAGATGATTACAACACCAAGAGTTTTTACTTGGCCTCTTTGCCGAGACTAGCACTGCCCAAAGTAAATATAACACAAACCACAAATGTAAAGCACATGTATAATGTCTCACGACATATTTCAAAAAAGTAAAAAGAAATAGATGAAATTAATTTTAATATTTTATTTAACCCATCGTATAAAAATCCTAACATTTCAACATTTAATCAACATAAAAATTATCAATTACATTTTACGTTTTTGTTACTAAATATATGAAATCTGGTGGGTATGCACAGAACACTGTAATTCAGACTAGCCACATTTCAAATGCTCAGTGGAACATAGGGCCAATGCCACTGTATAGAATAGCAGGAGTGTAGAACACTTTTCTCTCAGGTGTCTGCATAGCTTGCTCCTGCACTGACAAAAAGGCCTTCAAACATCTTTTAATTAGAGGAAAAATTTTCTAAATTGTCCCCCAATCTAAAAATATGCCTAATTCTTTAAAGGTAATTTTGTAACTACAGAATTTCAAATATAGTAAGCAAGATTTCCAGAAAAAGATAAAGAAAGGAACACTTAGATACTCTTGACTAGGGAATACCATACATATGGTCCATTCAGAAGAATGCTGCTTAGTATTTTGTAATTCCTGTTAGAACAACTGCATTTTTAAAAGGGATTCTTTTGCCAAAGATCCATTAGAATATGAGTGTTTATAATATTTCTTAGAAGTAGTTTATAAAAGTTTTTGTTGTTGTTGTTTCTTGGATCTCTTATGAAGAGCATGTTTTAAATTTGCCTCCTTGATCCTTCATTATGGCAGATGTTTTGCATTTTTACCAATGTATATAATGGTTCCAAAGGAATTACTTATTTTAGTCAAAAACAGGATGAGATACTGAATCATAATGAGAACACTCAACCTATTTCATTTCCATTGTGATTTCTTGTTTGCATTTTAAAAATTTATTTTCTGTAATAAGTTCAGGCAAGACATGTTTGGACAGTAATCAGAAGAATAACAGCAAAATACAGAGGAACTCTAGAATTTTGCTAGGGGTAGTGGTGGGAGAAAAATATATTTTCCCTTTCCAGTTAAAGCTTCAGTGTTATTTATAAATAATCTCCTTCCAAAGCAGCATGAGTGGGGATGTTTTTGAGACTTCGCTGAACACATTTTAGGCATTTTTCTAACTGTTTTAAATAGAAGTACGATGACTCTTATAAGATTATCTTGAACCATTATAGGACCGGGTAATTGTGCTATTTTTCAGAAGTATAAGAAATTATTTATGTTGTATGATATTTCGTAATATGCCTCTGTTGCCAGTAATTGTCTCTAGAATTTTGTAGTTAATTATAGAGTAATGTTTCAAAGAATGCATATGTCTTGATTGGCCTAGAACAGTCAATTAATGTTTTAATATGCTTTTATACAACTGCACATTAAATTAGGTCATAATTATTTTTAAACAGGATGGTGAAGTGGATGCTGAAGAACTTCAGAGATGTTTGACACAGTCTGGAATTAGTGGAACTTATTCTCGTGAGATCTTTTTTCCACTCTTGTTGAAATTGTAATAGGAAATTTATTTTCTTTTTTGTCTTTGTAATTAAAATGTTTAAAAATTTATCACAATTATACATGAACATAAAGAATCAAATAACTGTAAAACTTGTTATAAAAATAACTATTCATTGTGCATTCCTGTCTCCTCAACACGAATTGCTCATAGAGGAGACTTCTTTTAACTTAAAAAACAAAAACAAAAACAAGAAACTGATTCTTTTGAAATTTGCTTCTACATTTCAAGATAACATTTATTTTTTCATGATTGAGGTTCAGTTTTTATGATTATCAGTTGATATCCTGCTATGGAAGATGAGGATTCACTTTATTTCCACCGTAAACTCCCCCATCTCTGCACCCCACACTGGAATCCTTCCCATTTTCCTGTCCTTCCAGTGTCATTATATATATAATAATTTTGGTTAGGTACATTAGTCTTTACCTTATTTATACTATCTGAATGCTGCTTATAGCTGTGTCTTATGATAATGTATAATTACTTTTCTTTTTTATATAATGTTTTGCTTTTCTTGAAATCAGTAGTTGTTGGGCATTCTTTTTCATCATCCAGAACTCTGGGACATTCTGTCTTTTATGCATAGCTGTCATGCTGGGATTCTTTCACCATCATTTTGGAGCTGATTTCCCCATTTCTTTTGAGCTGAATGTCCTTTTTACTCCATCTCTTCTTGTCCTCTTTTTAAAAATTCATTGTTTTAGTGCAATACATAGTTAAGTAGCTTCTTAATAAAAGAATACATGGGAGGTAAAGTTTTGAGAGCTTATGTGTCTAAAAATGCTTTCATTCTACCTTCAGAATTGATTGGGCAGGTATGGAATTCTAAGTTACAAATGATTCCCATGCAGAATTTTAAAGGCATTGCTCCATTGTTTCTAGTGTCCCTTGTTGCTTTATCTTTCTCTTTCCTGCCTGGATGTGATGTGATTTGTTATTCCTCTTTGGAAACTTGTGAGATCTTTGTCTTTAGTATTCTGCAACTTGACAGTGAAGTGCCTAGTTGTGTTGTGTGGGGAACTCAGAGGGTATTTTCAGCCCGGAAACTCCTTTGCTTTAGTTATAGGACAGTTTCTTCAATGATGTTTTCTGTTTCTGGAATGCTTTTTGTTTTGACTGGGACTTCTACTTTTCTCATCTTTTCCCTCCTTTTTTATTTCTGAACTTTTTGGGAAATTTCCTCAACTTTATTTCCTAAACCTTCTATTGAGTCTTTCCTTTCTGCTTTTCATTAGAATCCAAGAGCTTCTGTTTTATTTTCATGAATGTGATGTTATCTTTTATCTCTCTGAGGTTATTAATATATTTTTAAAGTTATTTCTTTCTATATAACCTTCGTTTTTTTCCAAATTGTTTTTCCCCTCACTTTGTTTGTTTTGGTTGTTTTTCATGTTGGATGCTTTTCTCAGTTATCTGATAATACTGCCTTGCTCATATTTTAACTAAAATACTGATTAGAACCAGAGATCATGGTTGGGTGTTGATTGTGGGCTTCAGTGTGTGGTGGTTTGGCTGGGCAGTTTTGTCTGGGAACTCTGGGTGTCAGTATGTTTAGGGATTCCCTTTTGGGCTGGGTTTTCCGTTGGCCTTTTACCTGGAAAGGAGAGGTGGACTCAGAAGGGTTCTCAAGCCTTTTGTAAATTGTCCTTTAATTGCTTTGTTTTTAGAAGATAGCCTTGTCTCAGCTCTGGTAACATTTAATTCAGAGACTTCTCCAGAGGATAACATTCCAGACTTCTGCTGGATTGGAAGTAGGTGTAGCATCCATCCAACTGAACTGAGGCAGGGAGGGGATGGATATGAGGCTTTGAATGCTCCTTAGGTAGACATTCAGCCAATTCTTCTGTTTTTATCTCTGCTTTCACACCCACCTTCAGAAGTACTGCCAATTCTTAGGCATTTGGGGTCTTCTCCAAGGGTTGCTTCTCAGCTTTTCTCCTTACAAGTTCAGGAATCCACGTTTTCAGATCTAGGCTGGTTAACTCACATCCATCAACTCTTCAATTTGCAAAATATTATTCCTTTGTTTCCTGACTAATTCTCTTTTTCTCTTAAGTTTTATGCCTTAAAAAATATCAGTTTATTGTCCATTCTATTGGGCTGCAGGGAAGAAGTGAAAAATCTGTCATCTTTCCTGAAAAGTCTCTCTCCTCACTGTTTGTCCAAAATATTTCTTCTTATACATACACATTCCTATTCTGAGAGTGAAGTTCTGCATATTTGCTGATTCAGTTTTAGCCATCTATTACCATTAATACAGATTCTCTCACTTTATGAATGTGTGCCAAGTTAATTTTAAAGGAAAATAGATATTTACTTGCCCAAAAGAGGAAATACTATTCCAGAAATTTCTCACATAATCTCCTCAGTCTGATAGTTTTATAGACTTAGCTTTGTAAGTTTGGGAAATTACCTTTCTGGGTCCCAGTTTCTTCCTTTTCAAAACTGGAACTTTTATATGTTCAGCATGTTTATGTGAAGTCATGTAACACATACCACCTTACTCATACTAAGAACACATTGAATACCTTTTGAGTTGTCAATTTGAAAATAGTACAACCAACAATTCTAACATTGATAGCATATTAAACATTTAAAGAAAATCAGCGATTTTAACTTTGGAGTGTTTTATAATTTTTTTTTAGTGGGTCTAAAATTAAGCTGAAATAATTTTCTTTTTCTATAAAATGTTAAAATGCTATGAATAAAATAAAATAATAATTTTGAAAATTTTTATTTATTCATTCATTCACATTAACAAGCTGCTAGTAAACACTTGGTAAGTTTAAACTGTAATAACATGACATTTTCTTTATCAGGACTAGGAAATTAGTCTTGGGACAAGTCAGCATACTAGTTGAATGTAATTGTGAAAAGGATTGGAAAAACTGAATTTTATCTATCGGTCATCAGTTATAGTTCTGTAAATATGAAAGTGTTAATATTTCAAATCACTCGGGTTTTAAGATAGCTTGTATTGATTTCTTCTTCCTTTTTTCTCTTCCCAACCTTGGAGAAGATCCAGTTGCTGCTATTCAGCTGCTTATTTTTTCTTATTTTGTCTATTACAATAAACTACCAAAGGACTTACCTGTTTCTAGCATCATCTCACGTTATAGTTTATTCATTGTAAACTGAAGTTTCTAAAATGGAAATTTTAGAATTTCCCTTCTGCTTTTGAAAACACTTCAGTGGCTTTTATTGGCCCAAACTTTTTGCAGTGGTATTCAAAAGTTTGATGATTTGGCCCTCATTTGCCTTTCTGATGTCATCTTATGCCACTCTCTCCCATGTACTGTGACTCAAGTTTTGTGATCTCAGTACATGCCAACTTCTACTTAAGCTCCATTTGTTATTTGTGTTGTGACGACTGGAAGCCTTCCTTTTCCCCAGGCCTGGGTAAAGCCAAGTGCTTTACATTCCTAGAATGTCTCTGTCACAGTAATTTTCAGTTAGTTTATAATTGTTCATTTAATTATCTTAGTCCCTTCACTAGATATGAGTACTTTGGAGGCAGTATTTTTTTTTTTAAACAAAGGGTGCTTAACATTCAATAAAAGCTTGCTGATTGTGGTGATTTTATATATTTTGGCAGTTTTTAAATGTTTTATTTTGGAACTAGAGATTGTCATAATTGTACATAGATAAAGTTGGGCATACTCTAATTTAAATATTGAATATGTTTTACAGCCTTCAGTTTGGAAACCTGTAGAATTATGATTGCCATGTTGGATGTATCCTTGAATAGAAATAGAAAATAGAAAATAGTAGAATAAAGAGTATTTGCTTCCTGAATATTAAGCCAGTTGTTAGATTTCAGTGCCCATAGTAAAATAGTGAACTTAAAAATACTTTGTAGGATCCTGATTAAATTCCGGGCTTTTTAGTTTGAATGCAGAAATCTATTCATATGATGAGTTTGGCTGACTCTACAGAAGCATACTTAGGTTTTAGTCAATGATTTAGAGTCAGAAAAACTTTATTAGCTATCAAAATTTATTTTTGTTAATAAAACCATCAGAGAGATTACACAGGAAAAATGGGATTCAATGAATTCAAAGAGCTATGGGCAGCTCTTAATGCCTGGAAGCAAAACTTCATGACTGTTGATCAAGACCGAAGTGGCACAATAGAACATCATGAGTTGAGAGAAGCCATTGCTCTCATGGGTAAGAACATTAACATTCTTTACAATGTATAAAGCTCTTCTTTGTTCTTTCATTAGGTGAATCTTAATTGCTTCAATTTGCTAATAAAGTGATATATTTTTCACCAGCAAGTTCTTTTGTTTGTTTCCAAGGTTGTAGGTAAATTCTGATCAAAGACTTCAACACAACCATTTTAATTATGATTTTTTTTCAAAAGATAATCTTCCATACATGCATACATTCTGAATTTCTTCTGTTGAGTATGTTTAAATTTATTTCTTTGTTAGTACTCACCACTTACATTGTATTCTTTTATAACTTGGCAGGTTCTCTAATTGGGAGCCAAAGCCTGCCTCTGTCAGTCACAAATCTGTACCAAATAGCTTTTCAGCAGTAAAAACCATGATTTCGTTTGTCTTTTTTTTTTTTTTTCTTTCAGATATAGTACAGAACGCATAGTAGGTACCAAAATACATCAAGGTGGAAATACTGCATTTTAGAGTAATTTAAAAGTATATAACTTTATTTTTATCATACCTCTTTTAAGCTAATATTCTTAGTGTACTTTCAAAATGGATAACATACAGTGGTGTTTAATTTGCTTAAAGTCAATGCAGTTCTAAGTAGCTTTCTGAATTGTTTTCATGTTTGTGATTTTATTATTATTATTTTTTGAGATGGAGTCTCGCTCTGTTGCCCAGGCTGGAGTGCAATGGCACGATCTCGGCTCATGGCAACCTTTGCCTCCCGGGTTCAAGCGATTCTCCTGCCTAAGTCTCCTGAATAGCTGGGATTACAGGCGTGTGCCACTATACCTGGCTAATTTTTGTATTTTTAGTAGAGACAGGGTTTCACTATGTTGGTCAGGGTGGTTTTGACCTCCTGACCTCCTGATCCACCCACCTTGGCCTCCCAAAGTGCTGGGATTACAGGCTTGAGCCACCACACCCAGTCCCTTGTGATTTTATTTATACTCTTTTCTAAACAAAATATATTTGTATGAAAATTAATTTTTTAGAAGTTAAAATCTGAACCCAATGGAAGTAGACTTATCTCAAATTACAATTTAAAGAAGTCAAACTAGTGATTTGTTTGGTTTTGTTTTATAAATAGACATTTTAATTTAGTCCCCTAGGGACAATCCAGTCCATATAAACATGTGTAGTTCAATTATAGATCCTTAATACCTAATGGATTAAACCTGGTCCTTGATTCAGCTAATGTTGGGAGATTAATATAATCTTTAGCAGAAAGGTAAACCTCCAGAGTTCAGTTAGGCAGCTAGATGTAAAAAGGGTATTCTGGATAATTCAAATTTAAGATCTTCATATATATTTAAAAATTCTCAGATTATTTTGGTGAGAATTCTATGGGAAAATCTAGGAATTTTATCAGTACCACATTTGGATCATAACTCTCTAATATGAAGTTCAAACTATATTTGCATATAATTACATTAGTTTGCATGTTTTAATGCGTCTTTCATTTATACCTTTACTTTCTTTTACTTTTAGCAGGTTTCCTGCATTACATTCTATTGTATTTAGCTACATGCATAATTTTCTCCTATTGCATTTATTTTGGTTGTTTTCACTTTTGAATGGGTTAGTGTCATTTGTTCAAGTCTACAAATCCAGTAATGTATGGGCAATTATAGTGGGCTACCATTCTTCTTAGTAAAGCGTACACATCTCACTAAAAGCCTAGGGCCATCTATAAGGGTACAGCAAGTAGAATATATTAATTCATGTTTTTATTCATTTTTTCTCATTCATTTTAAATTTTAGATTTTATGTGTACTTTAAAATGGGAGTAATCAAACAGTAATACATATATAGAATTTAAAACTAGTTTAAAACATATACTTGGAGTGAATGATCAAAAAATTCTCATTGATATAAGTATAAAATAAACAATTTTGGATATCATAGGACTACTAGAACAAAGAACCAATGAAATCAGTGAAGTAGTGAGAAAGCTGTTATTCTTATTACAGTGTGTGAAGAAACATTAAGATTTCTAGGGCAAAAAGGAATAATGTTTTTCTGTTTTTATTCCCCTTTAGAGCAATAAAGTTGGTCCTCAAGTTTCCCTCAGTTATAAAAGATACTTTCAAGTAATATGTTCAGTGGGAAATATGATTTGAATAGCAAAGATCATTAGTAATCTTTGCATTAATATTTTTTAAGAAATATAAAAAGTTACATAATTGAAATATTGAAGCATTAAAATCTGTGAAATTAGACATTATTTCAAAATAAAAATATATGACAAATTCATAAGAAGAGAATTATTTTCTTTTCTTTAGCTTTGACTTTATTACAAAGTTAGAATTGTAATATTTATATACTGATTAACAGTGAAGCCTTTGATCAATTTCAATATTAATGTATTTTGTCTCTAATTATATTTTTATGGAATGAATTTTGAAAGTTAATTTATTTTATGACTTCATTAATGAGAAAGCAATCTTGCAGTGTTCTTATGTTATTTACATTTAGAAGTTTTAATTTATCTCTTTTTAGGTTATAGGCTGAGTCCTCAAACATTAACTACTATTGTTCAACGTTATAGCAAGAATGGCAGAATTTTCTTTGATGATTATGTTGCTTGCTGTGTGAAGCTTCGAGCATTGACAGGTATTGACTATTTAAAACAAGGTACAGTATTATGTAGCTATTTTTCTTGAATAATGTGTCTCATTTCTTCCAGCAAATTTATAATAATGTATGCTTTCTCCCTTTATTTGCTGTTCAATCTAATTAGTTTTAAGGCTTTAAAAATTAAGGTATAGAAATGATAAAAATTGTTATATGTTATTTTTTGGAAGGTTTTCTTCATATCTGTGTTGCCTGGGCTTTTCAGTCACTTAAGATTTAGTTGAATATGAAATTATTCTTTTTTTGTAACGGGGGGGACAAAATATGTGAAACTATATATCTTAAATTACAATAAAAAAGTAATTTCTGTGTTTAAAGATTTCTTTAGGAAAAGAGACCACTTGCGACAAGGGTTTGTGAATTTCGTATATGATGATGTGAGTATCCTGCTTTTGATATTTATACTGTGTTGTAGATACATTCTTTGTAAAAAAAATTAGGTGATACCAAGTACCAATACTGCAAATAATATATTTTGTATACCATGTACTTTTTCTATATTTTTCAAGTTGACACAAATATAAGATTAATATTAGTATAGGTGCCAAACAATTTGACTTCATGTTAAATTGTAAATATTCTTTTCAGTTTTTATGACAGGTTTTTGGAGTTAAAAAAATGATCTTTCAAATCACTTTTAAGGGCCCAAACCACCATTATTTTTTCAAAAAGTAGTTTACTTTGGTGATATATTTTCTCAGGGAGGGAAAAATTTTAATCCAGGACAGATTATGAAGCTGTTCATTTCTCATTTCAAATGGTTACTATTATCCTGATAATCAGGGTTTTTTAAAATTCAAGCTATGAGACAGTTATATTTCACCTGTGCTTTAATGTTTCAGGGTTTTTGTTTTGTTTTTCTTATATTTACTGATAGAAGTTACAGGGTCAACATTACTATTATTTATTGTCTTGAATTATAAGCCTTGGAAACAAATTTTCCCTCTTAAGAAAATGCTCTTATGGAATATAATTAGTCAAACACAATTAAAAACCATTTTATTCTTAATAGATAATTATTTTACTTATGTATTAGTTTTTGCAGGGCACTATGGCAATTTGAATGTCTAGAATTCTAAACCTGAAGAGACATTGTGAATTCTTTTGCTTGGAGGAAGTGGACTGGACTACTTCAAAAATTTTAAGGCTTTTTCCATGTTCTTCCTACCTGTTGAATCTCTTCCCTTTCTATGCGTTTTTATTTTAGCAGGTAGTTCAAAGCAATAAAAGATTTTTTTTTTAATTTGGAATATTGCTGCTTTTGGAAAGTTACCATTTTACAGATATGTGCATATTGTCATAAAATATTTGTATATGATTGATTTAAATAATGCTTAGCCTTAATTTTTAATCATGTAAACTTAGAGGAATGTACTTAAAAGATAGATTGTATAAGAAGTCAAATGATAAAAGCCTAGAAAAAACTAATTTATACTTACCTGAAGGTTACAAATTAGACTTTTAAATTTTGTTTGCAGTTGGTGGTGTTTGAGGGTCAGCTAGAAATGAAAGCCTGGATTTTGTGCTATGTTTGTAATATAGTTTGTTCCTTGATCAAATAATCTGAAAGGAAACAGAGCTCTTTGTCTGCGAAGAAGAAAATTATCTTGCCAGTCAAATCTGTGATGAAATAAGACTACAAAAGGCATTATTTTTCCTTTATTTTTTGTAATATATTTTTCTTCAGTATGTTATATTGTCTTCTCTAAGCAAAAAGTTCTTAATAAACATAGTATTTCTCTCTACACCCTGTTTCATTAGTGAAGACATAGTTCACCTAAAATGGCATCCTCCTCTAAATCTAGACTTTTTGGAAATGGCACATATGATTGATGAAATCAACATTCAAATTTGTCCTAACTAAATTAACCACTCTAATTGTTCAGAAATTATACATTTGACTTATTTGACATTAGTGGTGGCTTTGCCATTAAAAATACCAGTAAATATTTTGAGTGCATCTAGGTAATCTGGGGTTTTGAGCATAGTAGACACCACAGCAATTTTTCTGAGTGATATTAAAACTGTCAAAAATGCAAAGTAGAATCACCAGATCTTTAGTGCTTAATATCCCTAGTATAAGATGTTACGATTAATGTGATTTATTTCTTGCCAAACACCTTGTGTCTTGGTGAAGATTTAATAAACTACATATTTTTCTTATGCTTTAAATGAGTATCTTCCAGCTAACAGTGAGTGACATAATTTTATGACTGTTGACCAAATTAATTTATATATTTTATAAAATCCCATTTTCTTAATGGATGGAGGATAGACGACAATATCTTGAACAAAACCTTCCATAAACTTACAGAATTTTAAATCAGCTTTCACTTTAAAAAAATCCTGGAAAGGAAGTGATACATAGTCACTTGACACTAATAATTTTATATAATTTGCTGTCAAATTCACTTGGTTAGTTTTATAAAAATGTGTGAGTTAGTAATCCATGTAATTTTGTTCTCTGGCTTTTTTTTTTCATTAAGATATATTTGATCATGTGAGAGGACATAAACTGAGTTAATTTTTTAAAAAAACAGAATTATAAGTGTTATAGGAAAAAGCAGATGTAAAAACACCATGTGTTGTTCACATTGAATGGTGATAATGTGGCTCAGCAACATGTAATCTTAACATCCAGGTTATATGATGGTCTTTTCTGAACTATCCTGAGGTTAATTATGATTATCTCTCTTACTTGGAGGCTCACAGTTGAGGTAAAACTTTTAAAATGACAAACGGTATTATTCATGCAAATTTCTGCCAAATGACACTCTGTATTAGACCTCTTTAACACAATTCTCATCTAAAAATGTTCCTATGACTTTTGGTCATAGGAGGTCTATGAAGGAGCTTCCATGGTCAAACATATTTAGAAACTCTCACCTTATAAACTTGATAATGTATATTAGTGTCTGAAAACCCAAGGTTAATAAAATCAGTCATGTTTAATTTTATTTGACCCAGTTTTTTTTCCAAATTTTTTGACCACAGAACCCCTTTCTGTAGCAAAACTAACATTCTGTGCTGATCCAATTCAATTGCCAGGCAACTCTTCTGTACTTTTCATTAGATAGACCAACATTTATTAACAGAAACATTGGGCCTAGAGAATATTTTACTAGAATTTTTATACTGAAGTACAATTCACCTTTTTGATGGTTTAAAAATAACCGATATAAATATTTGTTATTAAAGATTAAATAGTTTTATGATGAACACAACCGCAACATGAATATAGAGTAGTTATTTGCACTGGTTAACTTATACCCCAATTTTTTTATGATGATGTAAATTATTGAATAATGTACACTCTTAATGTATAAGTGCTTTTATTTATACAGTTAACATGTTTCCATGTCATTTTGAGAATTTTTTTAATAAACATTCAAATAGCTTGCTGTAAAGTTTCATATCATACAAAATCTGTTACATATATATTATGAGATGCTTCAGTTCAAATAACAGTGCAGTAATTCACCTCTAACTAAAACACTGCCAAATGATTAAGTGTCATGTATTGCACTTCTATTTTGAGTGGCAGTTTACACATTTTAAATTACATCAAGGGTAAATCAATACTATGGAAATCTTAATTTGGTCCACTTAAATGTAATTTCAAGGATTTCTCATTTGATCTATTTAAGCATGCATCCAGAAAAAAGTAACAAAAAATGTCGTCAAGTTACGTTTATTTCCAAAAAAAGGCATTTAACCTAGAAGAAAGTAGAATCTGTTAAAGTCAAGTCTGTGGAGTTAAAAAAAATAACAGAAAATCAATTTATTTGTGATTATTTCTTTTAAGTAAAATGTAGACATCAAGTTATCTTTTAATCTTATGATATTACTAAACTGGACAAACAAAATAAATACTCTGTCAGAAATGTGCTCTTCTTTGTCTTTTTATGTTTGACAAACTCATAAATGATATGTTTTCTTCTGTTTTTCTATGATTTTCTGGGAAATTAATAGGAATAAACTTGTTAATAACTGGTGAATTAAATCTGGTGAGTAAAATCCAAGACTTCTTTCAGGCTAGCATATTCTGTTTCATAAGCTTTAAAATGCAATCATGGATGTTTTATTACTTTAAAACTTGTGTTAGAAGATCCCAATTTTTTGGTCTTAATTCAATCATTTACATAGTGAATTAAGCATATTGGAATAAATAAGTAATGCTAAAGTATCATCCAAGAATATAGAGTTTATTATTAGATGATACAAATAAAAAATACTTAGAACTAGTAAATATTTAGAAGGTTTGAGTGCAGATGGAATTTTAAATGAATACTGCCCAGGTAATTTGAAGTCTAGAATGAGGTCATCACATAGTACCTATATTAAACTTTTCCTGTAATTTAGAATACTGAGCATAAAACTACTTTCCAGCAAAACACTGGGAAACTTAGGAAAAATTTGTCTTAGTATCAGCTCATTTGCTGGGAAATCTGTGCTTTAAATAATTCCCTGCCATATCTCTTTCTGTTTGTGTTTTAAAATATGTTTTTCTGGCATATAAAGAAAGATTCTTATATACTTAGCATTCCTTTTATCCAAGTAGCTTATGCAGCTTTGTGGATTATTTTGCAAGTTTCAAGACTCAGGTGTGCTTCTATATATCTGAATAGATAGTGAGTAGACATTGGCAACACTTCTACATCACTATGATGTGCCTTACAGGAAGAGAATGGGGAAGCTCTTTCCCTATGTGCTAGTTATGTGCCCATTCTTCAGATGTGCCCATTCTATAACATCAGAGATGGTGGCAATTTGCAAAGCTTATAGGGAGTGAGAATTGGCCTAAATTCTCATTTAATAGCAATATTCAGGGACACTTATGTTAGGAATTATTAGGTCTTAATTCTGACATATTGTGAGAGGTACCCCAGCGTTTTCCCTTAACCATAAAAATATAAGTATGTACAAATATATGCATACAGATATTTGCATTCTAGTTGACTGTACTGAATCAAATTTCATTTTGCTGTAATTATTCAATTTTTGAAGGATAACCTGAAGAGTGCTAGTATGAATATACCAGAAACATTAAACATTCATTTTTTGAAAATTATAAGCCATTTAAAAGTGATTTTTAAGATTTTTCTGTACTTTTGGATGCATATTTAATTTCCCATAGCTATCTAAATGTGGTACCCTCAAATTTATATTATGGCAGGTGATAATTTATCTTACGGTAAGTTCTAAAATATTTAGCTTCATATTTAGAGTCTCATTTTCTGATCAGCCTTAGTTATAGATATCATTACAATTTTTCTATTTGTGTTTGGTTTTTCATTTGTCAAAGGGAAATATTGTCTTGGTGTTTTAAACCTTAAAGATGAAGGTTAGGAAATCTAAGCCACTAAACAGACTCAACAGTCCTTAGCTTACATGCCACATTATGGCCAACAAATGTAATTTACAAGTTTTCTTGAAGGTAGTTTGATATTTTTTCCCCTTAAATAATAGAGAAGCAACTGGGGGAGGAACTAAGAAAGTATGAAACTCTGGCAAAATAAACTATCTGGATGTTTTCATTCTTGGTTAAAAAATGAAGCAAACATACATTATAAAAAGTTATTTGCATGTATGTTAAAGCCTGTTTATCAGAAATTTTAAGTAAACAATAAATGTTTCAGTCAGTCACTATTGTGGTCTTAACAGGCAATAATCGGTGAAATATTATGATTCTTCTATTTTAGATTTAATGCTCTTTGCCACTCAGTCTAGCTTGCTAGTGTCCTGGTGGAACTCTGTAATAGCTGTAGCACTGTTATGTGATTTCATTAAATAACATCAGCACCACCATGCCTATATCTAGCACTGTTCCTAGTAAAATGTTGGAAAAAGTTGGCTTGTCTAGTAAAAGTATCCTACTTAGCTAATGAGATTTACTTTCTTTTTCCTCAAAATAATTTCTTTTACAAATTCTTGAATTTTTCATGTATAAATAGATCAGAAATTATATGCTCATTCTTAAATTATGTATATATACTATATTTTCAATACAACTTGTACACTTCTTTTAGCTACCAAAAATTTGCAACCATTTTTACAAGAAATGTACATTTTTTGTATTTACAGTTATCTGTAGAAGCTTATTGCAAAACTAGTTGTGCAAGTAGATTACACTGTCAATACCACATACCAATCTTTGAAGAAAATATTTGCTAAAAAATAAATATTTCTGCACAGAATATTTGAAAAGCATTATGATTTCATGCTACATTATGTGCATAAAAACTAGGAAATAGTATGTGTTTTGGTAGATTGTTTCATTTTGTATAAAGCATTCCAAGGTACTTCCTACTTAGCCAGATGTGAGCTGCTTTGTATCAGATGACTGACATTTTCAAGTGATTACACACATTCTTTTTGGAAATATATTATTCTTTAACTGGTAAACATTCTGATGTAATACATTTTCCCATCAAAATTATAAAATGAAAATTTCAGCTAAAAAGAGGTAATGTGCCTTTAATTGAAATCAGTAGGTGGCTAGGAGATAAAATCTAAAGATTCCTCAAGATTTCTAATCTTATTTAACATTTGGAAGAAAGATGCCATATCATTTCAGTGCTATTATAGGGGACTTTGAGGAGAAAAGATTACTGAGTCTTTAATTTTACCCCAAAATAAGAATGATGAAAATGTGGGATTTTTTATATTGCTACGCAATATATGTCAGTATAAATAATACAATTTAAATGCTAACAGTTGTGATTATTTTCAATATAAAAACATTAAAATGTACAAGAGGCAGTACAAAGAATATAGGTTAAACATAGTGCTTTAAAACCACAGGTATACCAAATTATTTTACATCTTTCAAAATATAAATTAATGGAAGTCAAAGATGTAGTGACTATAATTTAGGGGATTCATCTAATTTTTGACATTAGCTTTTCAAGAATAACTATGTTAGTATTGCCACTTCTCATAATAAGTACTATTTTATTGGGAGCATTTCTGTAATCTTGCTATTCTCATTTAAAAGTTTGATCATGATTGGTAGAGCAATGAAATTTGTCGATTGTATGGTTCTGTGTTCTGAACGTTGCATTTCTATAGATGTTTTAATGTATTCATAGTAATAACATGTTTTAAATAACTTCTTGTTAGTCATCTCTCAATCTCCATGTAATAGTTTGTGTATATAAGCCTCACAGTAGTTTCTTTTCATGCTTTTGTTTATTAATAATTCATGTCTTTCTGTTATTTTTCTGTATTTGACATTTAACCAAAGTGTGTGTGTACCACAAATGCATGTGATGAATTATTGTACTTGGGCACTGATCAATCACAACACCTAATACTGTACATTTAAAACACGATCCTTTAAGTTTGAAAAGTGGTTTAACATCACATCATTATAAGTAGAACCACAGAAGAAAATTTGAATGGGAACACTTGAGGAATGAGGGATAGAAGGATGAGCTATTGCAAACCTAGAAAACAACTGGAATGCAAACGTATAAATTATTGAATGGTGGACAAAGGCAATATTAGACAAATATAAGGATGCTATGTATACTGGCGTTCTGCTCTGAGCAACTAGATCTTTGGGAGGTATGTGAAAATGACTTTATAAATTTTTGCTATACAATATGAATGTATGTGCTGGGTAAAGGAAAGAGCAACAGAAATGTTTTAGAAGACCTTAAATAGTGCTACTGCACTACCACCATATTCCACTATCTTTGTGATGATGCACAAGTCACACAATGATCTTATAGATTTACTATAAGAAGAAATAACGTGCTTTATGGTTTACAAAGCATTTCTACTTATATATTTCAGAGGATCCTCAACATACCCCTTCAAGATATGTTAGATGCTACCTCCATTTTTATAATTTTGGATACTGGAGCTTGCTTTGGATTTGTCCCAAGAATAAATGGAGAAGGTAGAATTTGAATTCAGGTTTACCACATTGAGTACCCTGCCATTTCCACCATTCCACACAAGAGCTTAGCCAGTTTAAGACTGCATAACATATCTGTGCAATGGAAGAGTGACCTAGGAGTCTGAAAAGAACCATTGCAACTGTAAAATTCTATTTTCTGTAAAAATAGATAATATATTTACTTTCAAAATTGTATTTTGTAAATGTATATTCAGATATCCATCTAAGGACTAAATCATAGATCTAAAGAGGGACTTCCACAGTGAGCCAGCCTTTATAGAATACATTCTAGTAGTACTGATCGACAGATTACTTTTACATACTTGGCATGTAACATCGATTCAGAGTAGATATGTTTATAATAAGGAGATTGATACTCTCACTATTATAAATAGTATTACTTTAAAGCTATAAACCTAATAGTGCAAAATACAATTAAGAGAGAGAAAACAATAGCTATATGTAGGTTTTTCTGCATCAAAAACTTATCTTGGTAACAGCTATTTTCTTTGAGATACTGCATATTGTGCAAAATCTAAATCTTGGGAAATTATTCTCCTGATTGTTTTTAATGCCATGTTTCTGGATGAGAAAGAAGGAACCCAGCATTTTTTTTAGCACCTAGTATGTGCCAGGCACTTTACTATATTTTATCTCATTTCTTCCTCAAGCTTCTGTGAGACAGGTGCCATTATCTTATTTTTGAAGAGTCGAGAAAAAGACTTGGGGAGGTGAATTAACTTGCTCAAAGTCACACAGCTATTGATAAAGAACTGGTATTGGAACCCAAGTTGGTCTGACTGCAGAATCTATGCTTGCTCTTCTATATTGATAATTCTCAAATTTTTAGTGTGTGTAAGGATCACGTCAGAGAGGGCTTGTTAAAAGATAATTGCTGGGTCCCACCCCTAAAGTTTCTGATTTAGTAGATCTGGGGTGAGGCCAAGAATATGTATTTCTGTCAAGTCCCCAGGTGATGCTAGTACTGTTGGTTGGTGGACCACACTTTGATGACCATTGTCCTATATCATCCTATCATTTAGCTCCTCTTCAAACTCACGTGATAGAGACATGCTTGTTTTACTGTAAAAATATAACTTGACTTTTTGATAATTTATAAAAACTTTGATTTTTATAAATAAGTAATTTACTTACATATATTTATTTATTTTTGGTTTTAGCCGTAGATAAGAACTTTAAAGACTCTACAATATTAAGTTATAAGTTAATGTTGCAGAATTTTTTTAAATCGTGAAAGTAGTTTAGAGGAAAGATACTGTTGTTATTTAATGATAATTATTTTAGATATGCCAATAAGGTGATACATTTTATCATTAGATAATATATGATGGGGTTTTAAAATGACATTTGCATAAGAACGTTTGTTTTCTAGTTATTTTGGAAACATTTGCTAAAGTTCAACCTGCAAAAGGACCTTGTAAGCAACTCTTACACAACATATTAAACCTGACCCCAAATGCGCTGACCTACTTTCCATACTTCCTGACTAGAAGAGTAAGATAGTTCCGCTGTGATGACCAGTACAGTATAATGGACTTAAGAAACTATTCTGTCCCAAATCTGCCCCCTGCCTTCCTGTGTTTGTTGAATGAGTTATTATTAATTAAAAAACCCCATGAGAACATTGCTTCATCATTTATTATTCCTGGTTTTCTCAACTAATTAAAGAATGTGACTCCTTTATCGGGGAGAATGATAAGTCTAAGTTTCAGCTCTTTACCCAGCAATTAATAACTGCAGGAGAGCATCTGATTCAAACAAACTTTAGATTTTAAATGACATTTTATTTAGGCCAGGAGACTAGGTAACATCAGTTTTAGGAGGAAAGCAAAAGGTGTTATGTTGGTGCTTCTAATTACCTAGGAAAGCATTTGCTACACTGCAATTGTGATTGGCTGCAGCAGTTCGACCTGGCCCTCAGCATGATCCCTAGATGGAGAGGTCAGACTGTTTTTGCACCAGCCAACCAAGGGTGGGAGATGATGGTACATTTAGACATTAGGTTTTTGGCTGGGGAAGGGTATGAATTTTGTACATCAAGATAATTGCTTTGGTCATCTATAAGTCACTTTAGCCATTGAGTCTTCTGACATTAATGCCCACTAATCCCATCTTTATCTTGCTCAGGCTCTTTTTAAGCTAATGTCCTGTAGGAAGAGACCATCCTAATCCTGTCCAATTCTCTGAGGGTTAAGATTTTAATATAAGCAATTATGTGAAGGGATGAAGAAAAAGGTTTGTGTTGTGCTAGAATTTAAACAAACTGGGTGCTTGCACACTATTCCCCATCTTCCTATTTCTTCATGCTTAGTTTTTGTAAATATAAACAGAAGTTTTATGTGGAAGGCTGGATTTTATTCATGTCATACCAAATGTTGCAGCTGAGGCATTCATTAATCAATCAGATTTCAATACCTCACCTGCCAAATCCTCTCTCCCTGTAAATGAACATTGTCTGGTGAATTCATTCTGAATGTTCCTGGAACTTAGGCCAGCAATCCTTATGAAATTTGCTGCAGCTGCAAAAATGTGTCCTAGTATGGAAACAAAATCCCAAAATAGTCCTCTAAATCAGAGTTAGCCATTTATGGGACTTTCTCTTCCCTGCTAGGTACCTACTGAATGTTTGTTGAATGAGGAAGTGAAAGCATCAGTTAGCCCCTAAGTTTGTATCTGCGTAACACCAAATAATTTGGGAAACTGGTTATAATTATTACACTTTTGTGTAATAGTATATGTTTGAATTGACTGGTCATTTGGCATAATGCACTTGGACATTTACGTTTTGGTTTTTCAAAAATTAAGCAGGAGTAAGAACAAGTTTATACTTACAGATTGCCTTCCACATGGATTACCCATATATGTGACCATTTAAAAATATACGGGGAGCAGTCTAATCACACTTTAAACAGTACAATAGTTTTTGTAAATTTAAATAAATAGCTTGCATTTGAAGCTGATTAACAGATCAGTGTCAAAGTTTGAATATCCTGAATGGATAGAAATTAACCCATTTAAATGTGCACAGATAAAATGTTCTTAATGGACTAAGAAACTTTCAATAAATTTAAATATTTTTGTTCTGAAAGAAAAGATATAATGGATCAGAGTTCATAATTTTTAACTTGTACTTGAATTGAAAAATAAGATTTCTTAACTAGAACTTGACTGATCAGAATCTTAAATTGTAACATTTTCTTCACCCCAATTTTATGAGAGGCATATGCTCCTCACAAAAAAACTAGCAGTTGAAGATATTTTAATTGAAAGATATATTTCATTGTATGATCTGATATTCTTAGGTCAATATATATTCATTCCAATCCACGCATAATATATTTTTGTTTAATTTTCAATTGGCAAAAGTGTTTGAATAACTAAACAAAACTGAAATTTTACTGATGGTATGTGCATTTTCTTTCTAGGCACGCTTTTTCCATAGCTGGAAGTACACATCAAATAACATATTTAATGGAAGCTAGTTTTGCCATGCAAATCCACTGAAATCGTACATTCTTTGAAAACCATGTATGTCCACGATTTTTTGTTAGACGGGGTCTCACTTTATTGTCCAGGCTGGAGTGCAGTGGTGTGATCAAGGCCTCCTGCACTCTTGACCTCCTAAGCTCAACCCATCCTCCCACCTAAGTCTCTCGAGTAGGTGGGATTACAGGTGTGAATTACCACACCCAGCTAATTTTTAAAAATTTTTTGTAAAGATGGATTTTTGCCATGTTGCCCAGGCTGTATGCCCATTATTTTGATCAAATTCAGGATTTCTTTAAAATAGGAATCACAAGAAAGCTGTGGATTTCAGTTTGTGTTGGTCAGTTTAGCAGTTCTTAAGGAGACCACCCCTTCACCCCATAAAAAAAGCAAAATGAGAAATGTGTTTTTAAGCCTTCTAGGAAATGTGCCAGTGGAAAATACTTTAGATGGTTTGTGAATGCAATTAGTGACATAATTTTAAGTAGAAAGGACTTTGTTCTCATTAATGTTGGCCTATGTTTAGTATTTGGAGATGGCTTCCTATACTGTCAGAGGTTTATAACTCAAACTTTGTATTTTTTCTTCCACTGTGGAGGAATGAATGTAATTTTACACATCTTGATACAGAATGACCTGAATCTGTTTGCAAAAGTGACTAAGTTCCTTTTATCCCCCTGGAATTCCCATGAGTTGAGGATCGTCTGAATCTGAGTTGCATCCATGAACAGTTTTATCCCTTAGTTTCTTATTTGCGTGGAAGGCATTTTCATATCAAAGTACTGGTTTAGTAAAAGCAATAAATAGGAGTCTCCATGCAAGAGAAATTGGAGTTTCCTAACATGCATGTGATTTAAAAAATAAAAATAAAAAATAAGGTGCCATGAGATGCTAGCAGTTTTAACATTTGGAACCAAAAGTTCTTATGTATATTTACATCCTAACTGCTCAATTTTACCTTACAAGCTTCAATTTAGGAAAATATACAGTACTTTTGCATATAGTGGTACCTTGTGAGCCCCTGAGTCAAGTAGAGAGGATTTAAATAGAAAAAGGAAAACAGCCATTAAAAGCACTTACATTGTATGTGGAGTAAATAGTACAAAATGAATTATTTCCCTGGAAGACCAGGATCAGAAACATGCCTATGAAGACCCAAGATTCCTACAGTGCTTAGGGATGATTCTGGCAAAGAAGGATGCCTAATTGGATGAAGGTATGTTTTTCTTTGCCGCAGATGAAGCTCTAAAGAGAGATCACTGTCTTGTTTTAAAAGTGAAGTCAAGTTGTCTTCTGAAGCTGTATTCAGATGCACCCCACTTGATAGGGATTCTTTGGATTTAAGTTTAGATTTTTCAAGGTCTAGAAATTCAGGACACTGATGGAAAGAAAACAAAACATGTTTTTACAATTGACATTAATAGTCATTGAAAATTATGCTAATAAAAACTTAAGCGTTTTCTTTCCTCATGAATCTATATTTGATTGGTGATATTAGCCAACATTTCCCTCCTAAAATGAGTCAAGACATCGGAGATTGGTTATCAGTATAGATAATCCTAAACAACCATTCCAAGAACTTTTATTTAACCTTGGAGCCAGATTTTTAAAATCAGATTTAAAAAGTATTATTTTACATTGAGTTTTCCAGGTGAGGTAACGTCAAAATTTAAGACAAAATTGGGATGAGGAATAGGATCATTTGATGTGTAAGAGGGTATCAGGAGGAAAGAAAAGATGGGAAGTAAAATCAGTCATCTCTAGTGAGGTAATATTACCTAAAATCACTGAAAACAAAGAACAAAATAGATGGTTTTACATATTTTCCAGTCATTCAAAACTAGTTAAATTAATTTCTACTTTCAGATTTTAGAAATAATGCATTATTTTTCTTTCTGGCACATTACCTTCTGTTATTAGTGTAGTTTCATTTTCCAGGACAACTTAAATTCCCAAACATCTAAAAAAATTTTACAAGGTTGTTCTATAAATCCTTATTTAAATCATTGTTCTTAGTTCCAATTTCACTATAATGTTTAACTAATTGAGACAAATTCCCAAAATAGAATTAAAAGGGAACTAGACTACTCATATTGACATAATTCAAAAGGATCCTCTTTGAGGACTTCAGAAGCAGGAGAAAGGACTTTTCAAATTGCTTCTCTTACCATGGTTATCATCCAAGAGAAAAAAATTTAGAGATCTCTGGCGATGGGTGGGGTACAGAGAAGATTACTAGTCTGATGGCGTTTGAACCTCAGGTCTAATCTGGCCAGCATGCTATTTCTCCTCCCCTTCCTTCCTGAGACCTCACCCAGCCTTTCTTTGGCACTGCAGCAAATTACAGATTTTTCTTTGAAGCTCTTTTTGGTCCCAGATTTTTCTCTAAAGCCCTTTTTGGAGCATCGAAGACTATTCCTTAGATTTCAAAGCTCTACTGCATGAAAATTTAAGCAGGTTGATTCTGGAAAAAAAAAAAAGGTTTTCCTTAAAAAAATGCTAATGTTTAAAATCATTCTAGCTTCATTGTTCTCAAACTTTAAATGAATGTAAAAATCAGCGTGGGCTTGTTTAAAATGCAGATTACAGGGCCCATTTCCAGAAATTCTAATTGAGTAGAAACAGAGATAGGGACAGAAATCTGTTTTCCACAGCACCCCAAGTGATTCTGATTTAGGTGACTCATGGAAACATACACTTTGAAAGACACTCTTGATTGGATGGTATCCACACTTACTTGTGAGGATGGGCTGAAACTTCGGTCAGTTTTGATGGATGCTAACGGTTGACTGGTTCTCATCAACCGGATGATGGGTCTCTGATATTCTGCTCCTGCTGTAACCATACTGTAGGCTGGGGGGACCACAGTGGTTTGTTTCTGCAGTAACTGTAAGATGGTCTGGATGTCAGTGGTCATTTGGGATTCAAGCCTGCAGAACAGATAGAAGTAGGAAAAGACAGTCCTAAAATAGTCCAAGATTTCAAGAGTATTTAAAAAAAAATTCAGCACTATCAACAAACAGAATTATGGCCTTGCTTTAAACAAGAAGGACAGGAGAGGGAGCACAGAGATTCTTTCCTGACAGATACTTACTGTGTATGTCTCACTAATGATTCTGATAAAGACTATTGCTTTCCTGCTCATATTAACAGTTAACAGAAAATCAGATGAACAAAATAGACTACATGTTTACTAACCTTCACTGATTTCAAAATGTGAAACACACTGAGAATTTGTTTTTAATCAGTAATTGTCTTTGCTTTTTCATTAGGTTTTACTTAGTTTCTTGTGAACATTTTATTGGCTCTTAAAAAATAGATTGGTAGCACATTTGTTTCATAACTGTAGCACCCAAGATAATTTCTTATGTATTTTTACATTTATATTACCTTTTTTTTTAGCCTTACCTCTTTCCTATTCATATTAAGTATTGTATATTATTCATTGTATTCTTTCTTTAACGTTTAATGCTATTAAATGCTAAGTTCTTTTTCCCTCTAAATATGTCATGGCCTTTGGTTTGTAAGAAGTATACCAAATTTGACTTCACTTGCTTCTAATGACCCATCTGGCCTGCAAAATACCAGTCTATTTTTTTCCCTAAAGCTCACAAGTAGCCAACTGGCCTGTTAATTTTATTCTCATTTTAAATTAAAATTTAAGGGAAAATAGCAAAATATAATTGGTCAGATTTCCTTCTTTTGCATGTGTTAACAGCATTAAATGCAGAGGAAATTTTGTGGACATAAGAACAGAAAATTTGGACCATATGCCTCTTTAGAAAATTCTTCTAACTCTTCACTTATTTGTGCCGTTTTGCCTCTGAATAAAAAATGGAAAGAAAAGAAAAAAAATGTAAAATCATAGGATTAATTTTGCCCACGTAAAGTCATGCTTATTTGTAGAATTCAAAGTAGAAATTAGTGTTTAATTTGATAGACAACATAATAAACCTGGAAAACATGAGAAAATACCTTTTTTTTAGTTTTTGGTATTTTGATATTAACACTCCAAATCTTCCTTCTAAGAATCACAATAAGACATTATTCTTACAGTTTTTCTATAGTTGGTAAATATAGCCATACAGCTTTGTGTCTTCTAAACCAATAGCTATGAATTATACATGACTTTGCAAATGCCATTTTTGCAAATGTCAAAACCACACACTGAAAAGGGAAAAATTGAGTTATCAACTGGTTTATTTATCTACTTTTGTAACCTAAAGGTCTGATCTAATTTTTATGCTTCCAACTAAACTGAGCAGACCCATTAGTTTACTGTGATGTGTTATACATATCTTTCTTTCATTTTACTCTTCAAGTCCAAGCTTATATATTATCTGTACTCAAAAATCTTTCCTTATTTACCTCATCAAGAATTACTTTCTCCTCTGAGCCTCCAAAGAAAATTCTACATTCATATGTCATCATAAACATTTCTGTACAAATGTATTCCATCACTAACAGCATTCAGTTGTGAGTGGCTTACACAATGTCTATTAGAATTGAATGTAAAAGGATTTTAGGGGAAAGACTGGAAGAAGAATTGCATCAACAAGGGAGATTCAAAACCTAAAAATGAGTCAAAAATTATGGTGATGCTTTTGTCATACAAATCCTTTGCCAAACAGCAGCTGTCTCTGAGAAATAAAATCTCTTTATCATGGATTCTACCTATCTGAATAGTGTCTATGAGGAACAAATCTATTGGAAAGTGAGGCTTCAGCATCCACACGTCCAGTAATTGCAGCCCACTGCCATGAATGGGACTCAGGCACATGACAGCTCATGTGCAGGTAAAGTGGCTGGTGCAGGGTGAGGACAGAGACTGTGTCAGTATAAATTAGATAACAGCATAGCCCACCTCTGTCAACTTGACATTGTTGTTTGTTCCAGGAAAACTTTGAGAAAACTTTACACCAATAAATAACTTTGCTACTTCAGGAAATGTCTATAAATCTCCTTATTAGAGACAGTAAGCTGTTCATCTCAACAAATAATTTTTTAATCAAACTTTATTTATTAAGACTCGATTCAAGTTCCTCAACTTACTGTGTCCATTAGTCCTAAAGTATATCATAAACTTTGCCCAATTCCAATGAGCTCCCCAGATTTTGAAAGGCCCAGACTCCAGTCCTATAAATATTCTACTTCTCATTTCCCTTCTGAGACATCACTGAGACTGTGTCCAGATGGCAGAATCCCTTTCTGCAGTAATTTTGAATACTTAATTTTGTTTTATTAACTAGTTGTTAGATATAGTCCAACAAAGGGGAGAAGTTTACTAATAAGTTTTTTCTGTGCATAGGGTTGTATTTCTGTGTTTATTAAGCTAAGACAAGGGTCTGTTGGCTTAATAAGAATGGACTCTTGGGCCAGACACAATGGCTCATGCCTGTAATCCCAGCACTTTGAGATGCCAGGGTAGGTGGATCACTCATCCTCAGGAGTTTGAGACCAGCCTGGGCAACATGGCAAAACCCTATCTCTACAAAAAGTACAAAAACTAGCAAAGTGTGGTGGTGTGCACCTGTGGTCTCAGCTACTCAGGAAACTGAGATGGGAGGATGGCTTGAACCTGGGAGATCACAACACTGCAATTTTGTCTGGGTGACAGACTACAGAGACAGACCCTATCGGAAAAAAAAAGAAAAATAAAAGAGAACCCTTCTATTGAGACTAAATAGCCTGCTTTAGGAATTACAGAGAATTTAAAATAAATTCAGATTGGTAGTTAAAACAGAAAATAACATAGTTTTAGAACTTTTTCTTCTGTCAGCATCGTTCTAAAGCTGTGTAAAGTGAATAATTTCATTTCATTCACTCATTCAGAGACCCACAATGTACCAGGCACAATGTTAGGTAGAAAGGTGAGGGAAGAACATGATAATGAATAAATATGAAATCTGATTTCACATTGCTAACAGGAACTAACCACTTAGGAAAGACAAATGAAGGGAACGCATAAATAACCACAACATTAGGCAAAGCAAGTGCTCAATGTCATACGAGAGGCATGCAGATAAACTGCTCTGTGTGTAATTGAAGGAGTCATTACTAACAGTTTTTACATTTTCTAGGGCTTCCCTACTCAAAGCATGTGTGTTTTTGTATGTGTGTGTGTGTGACGGAGTCTCACCCTGTCACCCAGGCTGGATTGCAGTGGTGCAATCTTGGCTCACTGCAACTTCCACCTCCTGGGTTCAAGCAATTCTCTGCCTCAGCCTCCGGAGTAGTTTACAAGCACCCACCACCACATCTGACTAATTTTTGTATTTTTAGTAGAGATAGGGTTCTACCATCTTGGTGAGGCTGATCTTGAACTCTTGACCTTGTGATCCACCTCCCTCAGCCTCCCAAAGTCCTGGGATTACAGGCGTGAGCCACCGCATGCACCAAAGCGTGCTTTTTAGATCAACAACACTGGACATTGCTGGGGGCTTGTTAGAATGTGGAATCTCTTCCAACTAGAGCTTTTAACTTGGAATCTGCTTTTTAATAAGATCTCCAAATGATTCAAATACACATTGAAATTTGAGACGCACTGCTCTAGGATCAAGTCTTAAAGATTTACCTAAATGGGTATATCTGCAGGCATAATATATAAATATAGAAGAACATTTCTTATGTAAACCTTTAACCATATCTATAGGTTGATCAGTCATTGAAACAGAAAAGAAGTGGTGGCAAGGACCATTCAAGATAGACCATTTTATTTGTTTTTATTGTATTTTGTACTTAATATATGTATTTGAATGCAGCAAATGGTGTAGGAATTCACAGTTCTACATTTAAACAAATGCCAAAGCTAAACATGGTAGACTCAATTCTAGAAAACTCTTTACTTTCTGTAAAGTAGAAGTCTGAGTTGAGCTGCTCCCTTCAAACTTTTTTGTACACATATAGCTTGTAGAATCAAATGGAGGTGAAAGTTTGTTAGAAACGGCGGCAGGGTAAAAATGTAATATTTTGGATTTTTAAAATCCAAAACAAGCAAAAAAAAAAAGTCTGTGAAAATATTGAGATAATTGGAAACAAATGTCAAAGGAGATGTAGCATTGGTGGTAGTGTCAACCTAAATAATGAACAGAGGCACTCTGAAAGGAAAAGACGTTTATATGGGAATATGCAATGCAGTAGGAATATTCATGTCATAGTAAACTATGCACTCATTCTGTGAGGTAAAAACAGACATTTTTTAAAGAAAAAATGAGGAAGACAGCATGACTGTTTTGAAGTGATTATCCTTGGCTACAAAGGTCAATAACAAGGGTGACACCAGGCCGAGACTGGACAGGCAGTTGCTGGTCAGATGTCCTTGCAGAAGTACTTTTTGTGTAAGGTTGCAGTGGCTTCTGTGCAAGGTTCTGGTTTTTTATAGAGTCTTTGTGATAGCTTTTGTTATCAGGCACACAACCCTCTCTTCCTGGCCTTCCCCAGCTCTCTTTGTCAGAGTTTTTCTAACATTAATGACTCTGTTTTGATTTTGACAACTTTCACAGCACCAATTCAAAACATCCTCAGGAAACACATACTGATGTTGGGAACATGTCAAAAAGAGATTTAATTGCACTTTGTGGAAAAGTTTTATATAGTAATAACTTATTAATGTAATAAAATAGCAATAACAATTTTTATTACTATTGGATGATTGCACACCAAATGGATCATAGATAAATGTGCCCTTAAAAGCTTATATTTTCAGACCTAGGACATATTGAAAACAAATGTCTTAAAGCAATCATTGACTTATCCTAGCAGCAGTGATTGGCACCCATGACAGAGCAACCAGGTGATCCTAAAAATCTCAATTTTAGTTCTGATGAAAGGTCCAAGCCAGAAGCTATCTGTAGAGTAGGAGAATACACTCAGATGAACAGCAGTAATAGAAGTGAAGTTCCTTGTTAATCAAATTTTACGTAGCTGCAGGTACAATATCTTCCATTTTGTATAGCATAGGTAGTTCCCATTTATATTATTTTAGTCCTTACAGTAGCATTGTAAGTAGGTATGAATCAAAGTAGGCAATGGGGGAAAATTTAAATGATTTGAACCTGTCATCCTGTAAGTCATTAAGTAGCAGACTAAGACCTTCTGCTATGCTCACCAATTGCAAGTATAGTGACAGCACTGTGCTAAATAAATCACTGCTGCCTTTGTCATTCATTCATTCACTTGTGTGTTCAATGACAATAAACAACATGGACAAAATGCACAAAAAATTTTAAGCATAGATAGTGAATAAATCAGTAGTTTATGTGATCTAGGAAAAACTCATAGATGTGTTAAGTACAGATGAGTAAGCAAGCAGCTTATTAAATATGGCAGAATTCATAAGATATATTAAATACAGACAGCATGCTAGTAACCTGCCAGGCATATCAAACATAGAAATATGTAACAAACAAGAGTGTTGCTTATACATAGAGATGGAAAAAGCAAATTATTCTCATGTCACCTCTAGGCAAACAACTGTCATCCCAAAACGTGGTCACCCATTGATGATACATACCAGTATCATCGCATTCTGGCTCCATGTGTGCTGTACCTGTGAAGGGCTAATGAAACACATGGCTGTTGAGCTGGCTAGCTGGAAAGCCACAGCTGAGGTCAGGTATACTATAGCTTGTATCCTTGTTATGGAGCAAGTGTGTGCCACTGGCACAGGACATTTTTGTCTGAAGGCCTGCAAACCTCAACTCTGGTCTTGGTAACTTCATTACGCTATGGCAAATGCATGAACATTGTGTAAGTCCGAATTTTGGTAGTGCAGTCCTTTTACCATGCTTGTGCATATTTGAAATGTGTTAATTGCCCCATGTGGTTTCCCTCTTCTCTCATTTGTGTTTTAAATTGATTTAATAAATCTTGTGATTACAGCATTTTAATTTAGTCAGTGCTGTTTTTTGTCTGGGACTGCTGAAATATCTTGCCTGGTGGTGAACTAAAAGAAACCACCCAGACTTAGGGGAAGGGATTACCTCCTCCCTAAACTAAAATTTATTCCTCATGTTAAGTGGTTTAGACCAAAGGTGAAGGAAACAAGAAACTCTGTGGGATTTTCAATTCAATTACAGTTTTTGACAAGCTGACTGAATAATTGAAAGTTTAAATCGCTTTGTCAGTATTTTTTAAATGCCCTAACACATAACCAAGCTTCCAGGAACATACAAAAAAAGTGTAAAAGGAGGATTAAAAGAGGAAGGGTGTTAGGTAATGAATTAATTAGGAATTATCTTGAGAGGGGAGGAGGGGGCTTTCTAAGGCAGCCAGTGCTGGTAAAATACTAATTGGATGACAAATAAAGAAAAAAATAGGATTTATGCTGCCACAAGTATCAAGTGTTCTAAATAAATGCTCCTTTCAACACAAATTGTTAATTCTGTCAACTTCTAGTCTTATTTTAAAGAAGTAAATGTATAAGGAAATTATGGGATTATGGCAAGAAGAATCTTCCATTTGTAAGGAGTAAAACTGTACCCATGTAAAAGCTTGGGTTATGCTCTCCTTTTGCCCTGTCACTGCTTATACCTGTTAAGTTGTTCCTGAAGCAGATCTAATCTTTGTTCCACTTCCCCATAGGTGAGGTCACTTTCTGTTTCAGAGATACCCCAGGCAGCTCGCTGAAGTGCAGATGGACTGGAGTCTTCAGGCTGGGGATGTGCATTTTCTCGTTCCCAGCTTCTCATGTCAGTGATGTCTGTGGAAAATAGCAAGATGGATGTCAAGCCTCTTAGGTGCCCTTTTGTGTCAATAACACATAGATATCCACAAGACAAGCTGGAAAGGATTGGAGTATAACCTGAGAGACAGAGAACAAAAGTGTTCAGTGAAGTGTCCAGGGGCCACGACCAATTGGTAGCAGAGTCCCACGCTCACTCTGCCGGCCCTACCTCTCATATCAATTTCCATGTGAACAAAAACATTTAGCAGGTCCTGAGTGTTGATTAGGATTTTGTTTTCTTTCTGTTTGTGCTAGGAAAAGAGAAGAACAGCCAAACCAAAACTAATTAGAGAGCAATGATTCTGTGCTTTCATAGTTGGAAAGCAGCAGCATAATTTGTTTGCACTGTATTACCTAGGGTTTAAGATTTTTAGGGCTCTTTTCCACAGGATAAGTTGCATAGTTATGACTTAGAGTTGGCCCAAGAAAAGAGCCTTAGAGGAGTGCTGATCTTCAGGGGGATTCCCTTCAGCCAACCCAACTCAAATACAACCAAGGGCCCTAAGCCATGAAAAATGGGAAGAGCCTAAAAAGTCCCTGGGTCCCCAGCTACTGTTTCATGTTTTTATGCTTTCTTGTAGCCCTTCTGTGCTGCCCTTTACTATAATTGCATTGTTTTCTAGTATATTTTTCTTGTGGTTCTTTTATTTTAAATATTGCTATGTTACTCTACTTTAAAATAAACTATTTGTTCAGGTCTACTATTAAAATGTTCTAAGTGTCTATTGTGGGCCAGACACTTGATAAATACAGAGGAATTAAAGATGTAAGAGACCATAGACCCTGAACTTGAAGAATTCAGCCTAACAGGGTTGTGATCACTTTCACATAGATATTCATTTTCTAAACATTTTTAAATTTCCTATTTCTCCTACAATCTCTATTTTTAAGCTGTCAATGTTTGGGAGCAAATATGTCCTTCCCCCCTCATTTTTGTCATATATTTTGGATGCTTTTGCTGATCCCTTAACCTCTAAGAATGAAAAACAGGTTGGAAAGTAAAACTTATGAAAAATACTACTGGAGCTGAGAGTTGACTTTGGAGATGAAGGAGAAACATTTTCCTTCACTGGGAGGGCTAGTAGGAAGGAAAGACTATCTAAAGCTGGTCTTCATTTTCACATGGAAAGAGATTTGAATACAGAAAGTGATTTTGGTTTGATAGGCTTGAAAAAATTTGACAAGTATTTATGATTAAACACTGAGAAAAGTTATGTAAAGTTATGGAATTCTTGGCTATTTAAATTTCGACAGAAAGCAACTGAACTGGGTAGGATTAGCTATGATTTTAGAAATAGGATAACAAGACCATTGGACTTCTCAAAGTTCCTTCCTTTCCTGCAGTTTCTCCAGGGGTAGTTTAAATGCATCCCCTTTTCTCCAAGTAGAAGACAGACTTGTCTATATTCTTTCTTCATGGTTTTCCTTTCATTCGCTATCTTTTATCATTGAATATAAAGAAATTTCTCAAATGAGGTGTCTATAATTTCTGCCTCAGTAGGGTGAGGCTTAACAAAGGAATTAGCATATCCAAAGTCAGCATTAGAAAAATATAGGATAAGAGTTCCTTCTTGGGCAGAAATGGCTAACAGACCTCAGAAGGCTTGCTTTGAATTCCAGAAAGACTCTTCCTGACTACATCTTTGTTACTGTAGGGATCCTGGTTTCATTATATAAAGTGGCAGTTTACCATTTCTTTTGATATTTTACCAAACATGGCAAAATATAAGTGAACCAAATAAGATATTGTTGGAGTTTTAAGCCATTTATCTGCAGATTTTTACTGAGAAGTAGTATTTATTATTTATAGACATTTGAACCTGTTTAAAATGCAAAACAATAATGTCTTACCAAACTGGGTTTTAAAGATTGGGCCAATAATGTTAAATAAACCTCCAGAATGTCTATATAAATGGTTTAGTGATGCTGATGCTTGTCTCTGTCTGCTGCTAGCCAGTTAATGCAGAAATCTTTCTTTCGAGAAAGCAAGAACTAATAAGATTGAAGTTACATGTTATCCTCACAGGTTTTGTGCAAAGAAAGCTTACAGAATTTCTGCCTATGTTTAACAGCTCTCTTCTTTCCAAATCACATATAATAAATTGATTTTTAAATGACAATGGTGAATCACATGCAATACATTATGGAGGATTATATTTTTTCTTCAGGGATCAAGAAAAATAATGACCTTATTAGAAATGAATGAAATGTACACTCTTATGGGTATACATTTAATTCCATGGCTATAATTTACTCTTTTATTAAAATCTGAAGATACGTAATTAGCTTGTTTTAACAGCAATTTAAAAAATGAGTTCAAAGGGGGAAATCCTGGTTAGTGGTCTTAATGAAATGAACATCCTTGTAGACACTATCTAAATATAGCTCAGAAAAAATCTGCACTTGGTTGCCTTGGAAAATGTTGCTATAGTTGCAAGACACATTTCTGAGAATGGATGAACAGAAAGTAAACTTTCACTTTTGCTCTGAGTAGACAATTTTCCTAGAGTCAAATTTTGACCTCAATCTAAGTAGCAACAGAGTCCATTTAATTTGTTCTCTTTTCACTTTAGTTTTGCCTAAATGTACCCCTCTGTTGGATTGGGCATTACAAATGTCAGGAATGTGAGTGAGCGAAATTTCCTATTGATGGTGAAACTAAAATTTGTGGGGGTTTAGTAGTTTGAACTGCAGCAGCGACAAGTCACACCTCATTTATTAATGCAATGTGTCTCCTTAAAAAAATTAGGGATTTTGAAATCATTTGACATTTGCAGTGAATGAAGTTTTAGAATTCCCCATTGGTTAATGATATTAATTAGCCAGGCTAACCATGTGTCACACTGATTGAAGTTATATGACATCAATTTAATTGATCTGCATATTTGGCTATACATTTTCAAGATAATTATTATTTGAATAGGGATTGCCCTGTAATTTTTTAAAAATTAGAATATATAGGTATTAAATTTGTTAGAATACTATTTTTGTATATATGGAAAAGCTCATTAAAGATAATTGGAAGAGGTGGCAAAGAAAAGTATTAGAAGGGCCTGAGAATTCATTGTCAGAGAGAGTCATTATACAGTCAGAAAATCCCCAAATTATATCTTTAATAATCTGCCACTTGAGACTCTAAAACTCAAGAGGAAAACAACAAGCACTTTTATTAGGTTCACATTATGCTGACCTTTGGAGATGGTAGAGATGGTTCAGCAAGTTCTTCAGAACTTCTGACTTCCAGGATACAACCTGTTTCTATTTTTAGCACTTCCCAGAATCCGTTTTCATAAATACTTAAAATAGGACATTTGGTAATCACATTTAATATTCCATTCTTCCATTGTGATAAATGAGGTACTATTTTCATTCACTTCATCAAGATTTTAGATTGTCCAGAGAACACTTGCATATATTCTTAGCTTACTTCAATGTGGGGTCATGAAAAAGTGGATGTGACATGATAGAGAAAACAACTCTTGAAAAATATAAAGCCTAAACATCCTAGATTCAATAAAATCTTTGTAGCTGAATATGATATTCTGGAATCATGAGGATAAGTAATATTTACTTACTCTGCATTAATGGACTAATTTTGCTATCCTACCAGGCCTAGAGCTTCCTATTTTCCCTTCATTTTCTTAATATTCTTTTGATGCTTTGTTATGCCTTCTTAATCTTTATATTTCTATACATCCAGGGATATATTAAATTATTAAAACTTGAAAAGTAAAGCCTATGAGAAAATACTAACAGTTGGGGACTTTATTTCAGAAAAGTAATTTACATGTTATCTTAATAACCACAGCCTAGTTAGTTAAATAATATTATTCCTCTTTTAATGATGCACAAACTGAGTCTTGGTGGGTTTGATCAAATAATTTACCCAAAGACGTAAAGGGAGCAAGTATCAGAGCTGCGCCTGGAACCCAAGCAGTCTGACCCACACCTGTTACTGGTACCACTTACTAGCTAGATCTGTAGATCTAGCCTCTGGTATGCTAAAATAGTTTTTCTTCCATGTAATAGTTCTTTAAATTTTTCAGAATTTCTCATTTTTATCATTAAATCTGCAGCTACTAATCAAGCATTATTACTCAACTCATGCACATTTCTTACAACAAAATCTATTCATTTGGATATTCCTTTTGATAGGGATGCTAAACCAGAGTTGGATTCAAGACCATACTTTATTTCAAGGAATTTTTTCCCAATCTTTCTCATATTTTCTGTAAAATTAAATTTTAGTTGGCATGTATTACAGTGTGATTGCATTGGCCTTTCATATTATAATATTATAAGGTTGGGGGTGAGAAATGGGTACAAAAGATACATATAAAGGACCAATTGGTTAGCTGTCTGAAAATACTCATTGATCCTCTCTCCCCATTGAAATCACTACAACAGACTTTCCCACAGTTTTCTACCTGACATTATATTGAGTCTGGTTGGTCACAAAAACCTCTCACGCTATAAGTTTTTGGGCATAATTACCACTTGTTTTAGAATAGTGCAAACACTTGGTAGATGATCTGAAATCTGAATGCTTCAGGAATATTTCATGAAGATGAAAACAATTAGATTAATGTGTCAGTACAGTTCTTAATTTGTAAAAAGTCACCATTTGTGATTAGCACTGAAGAAAGATCACCTGATGTCTAACTCTGGATTACCTTTGCAAGAGTGACTTCTTTTATCTATGTGCATTCTTCCTGAGGTGGGCACTCTTTCTTCAAAATCGAGCCCAGATGCTTTCCCTATTCCTGGAGAAGAATCTACTATTCCTGAGAAGAGCGGCTTTTGTTCATCATCAATGGAGGAGATGAAAGATGACGATCTGCTTTTTTTTTCTTCAAAGTGTCTCTTGGAACTCTGATAATGTCTTATGGTATCTGCAGAGTCTTCAGGATCATTTGTACTGTTTTCTTCGCCAAAATATATCAAAGAAAAGTTATTTTATAGCAGATAATTAAATGTGAGACTGTATGCATATTACACTACCTAGCTATATATAAACTATATACATATAGTTTATATATAGCTTTCTCCTATTGAAAATGTAGCTACTTGGATACTTAATTTTTTTAAATTCAAGGGTTATTAGATTATCTTAGTGAAATAAATTATTCATTTCAAAATTAAAAGAATATTTTCAATAGTAATAATGTTTATGTCTCAGAGGAAAACTGTAGGATAACTTACAGACTTGTTTAATGTGCTCAACAGTTATTTGTATTCTGAGAATCTGGCTCACTCTTCCTTTAGGGAAATGAAAAACAAAAGGGAAAATGTGTCCCAATTTTAAAATATCACCACTATGCAACTTGTTATTTGTTTCTTTTTAACCTACCTGTCCTATCACCTGTTTCAGCTGCTCATTCATTGCAAAGGTCAAAATTGGAAGCCTCCTTGTAGTTAAAGGCTGGCAGGCTGAAGTTCAACCTTAGTCGGATGCATGTAATGGCCTTGGCATTCTAGGAAGTTTGGTTGTGCAGCATAATGCAAAGAATATAAAGCTTAAATACAGTAATTAAGGTAGGTTTTACCTAATTACATTAAAGCTGGTAGTACATATTGGCTGTTTTATACTGAAATGTCAGGATAGTTTCAGTCCTGAAGATTGTGTTAGAACATATTTCAGCAGGAAAAACTCAAAGAGACAAATCCAGGAACTTGTTTCTATTAGTGTCCTGGGGAGACAGTATAATTCTCCATCTGGTTTCTGTTAATAACTAACCAACAAAACTCCAGAAGGTATATTATTTTCTGGAGAAATGGTGAAGACAGTGTCCCCATCCACTCTGCGCCTGAGTGTGCTTATTTGGTTATTTACAGAAGGCCAAATGAACCGATGGAAGGCCACGCCAGAGAAACTTCCAGCTGTCTTTAAAAATTCCCATATGGCATAGAACTTCAACAAAGATTTTGTCCCTTTATTTTTTTAAATCATAATTTAAAATATGAAAAGCCTGAAAGCAGCCCAAGGTAAAAGGAGATAAAATTTAAAAATCAGCTTTATGTGTAATTGTTATTGAGGTGTTTATGTTCTATCAATTAAAGTTAAATATAGCAAAAGCAGATTGCTTATTTTATTTAAGATTTCATGCTTGTTCAGTGATTTCATCATTGCTGAGAAAGCCACAGACCTTTCCAAACTCCAATGTTACAGGCATCATTGATTACTTACTGTTACTTGTATATCCTCACTCAATCACTAATTTAATTGGTTGTAAATAATCGGATCAAGTATTCTTACAAAAAACCTCTTCTCTTCAGTGTCATTGGCACAGACCCCCTTAAACCTTTAAACTTTTATTTTGCCATCTTCGTCCCAACTTAGTTTTTAACTTCTCCCCTTCTCTAAAGCCCTCTAAAAATTTGATAAACATTCTCTACTTTTTGAACATATTTTATTCCTTAAAAAAGCTGGGTGCGGTGGTTCACACCTGTAATTCCAGCACTTTGGGAGGCTGAGGTGGGTGGATCACAAGGTCAGAAGTTCAAGACCAGCCTGGCCAACATGGTGAAACCGCATCTCTATTAAAAATACAAACATTAGCCAGGCACTTGTAATGCTAGCTACTAGGGAGGCTGAGGCAGAGAATTTCTTGAACCCAGGAGGTGGAGATAGCAGTGAGCTGAGATCCCACCACTGCACTCCAGCTTTGGTGACAGGGCAATACTCTGTCTCAGAATAAATAAATAAGTAAAAATTAAAAAAAAATAGTTATAAACTTTGGGCTAGTAAATGTGAAAAAAAAAAAAAAGAAAGTTTCATCTTTCTAAATTTTCCTCATATCTGATTTGTGAATTGCACCAGTTTGCTCCTCCTAAGTAAACCTTTTTGTAGTCCCTGACTTGGGAACCAAAAATATTTGAATCGGCTCATGCCTACTATTTTCTAAAAAATGTTTTCATTTTTACACTTTTGTGGAATGTTTTCCAGCAGCATCAATGTAAGCTGAATTAATCATTAATTCATATGCTTCCAATAGAAACCTGGATAGTGCTAACATGGATATTGGTAATGAATGTACCTCACAAGTTAATAAACCATTTTGTCTCTTTGGCTTGAGAGGTCTTGGGGAATCCTTACACAAGGTAGAATGTTCTGTTCTACCTACCATTTTGGGCTCCAGTCTTAGTTTGCTAATTTATGGCTTGATTTTGGATGTGTATGAACCAGATTCACCAGTTAACATTACTGTTAAGTTGAATTATAACTTGGTGATTTCATCTTGAACATGTATTTACAAAATGTGGTGAATGAGGAATTACTATCATTTAGTTTTATAGTATAATGGAGAAAATTACTTTGCATACATAGGACAGAATTCTTTAGCAAAATTTCAGGTAAAAGCAGAATCAGGTAAAAGAAGAAGTAAAAATTTGATATCCTTGAATTTTCCCCATTGGTAAGGAGAAAAAAAAAAAACAAAAACCCAAGCCCTACTATTTCTGTATTCACTGCTGCTGGACTATCACCCAAGCCATATGAACAATTTATTTGATACAACCCCACTGAAAAAGCATTTTTTCCCATTACATACTAGATAAATTAAAGCTTCATTTTCTGCCACATAAAATGAAAGTTGAAATGACAATCTATTTGTGGATTAAAAATGGAAACTGTTCAGGCTTTGGCTGGAAAATTGACTGATGTAATATGTACATGAAATTGGGCAGCTGAAATGCATTATAATTAGCCTCCAGGTCCTTCTAAATTTTGATGGACTGCACTATTTTTGCCTTTTTCTAGTTAAACTGAATTATTTGATAGACATTCAATAGCATCAGGTACTATTTTTTTCTTAATTCTATTTATATTCTATGTAGAAATAATATTTTAAGGGCAGTTATCTGATTGCATAATCTCTCCTGTTACCATCATTTTATACAAAGAAAAATTCTTGCCTGCATAATTAAACCTCAAACTTGCTTTTGATTCACAAGACAATAAACCTTTTTTTCTCCCTTATTTTTATAAGCAAACAGTTCATCTCCTCCTCTTTTTCCACAGAACACAATTCTAAAGCATTTGTGACTTATCTGATGAGTGTCTCTCTGGGTTTAGAATGGTTTCAAGAGCATAGAGTAAGTGTCTTAATGGAATGGCTGACCCATTTATCTTAAGAATGATAATATAAAATCCTTCCTTTCAAAAACCTGGAATAAACATTTGTGCTCACTCCACCTTTTATGGAGTCTTCCTTTCAGATTAATTACCATTTTTATGTGTCAGACCCAAAAGGGAGACAAACTTTGATCAAAGAGAAGCATTTAAGGTGCTCTCTCAGCATTTGAGTTTTAGATTTCCCACTGGTGACAATTTAGAAATAAGTTGAGAAATTCCCAGCCAGATGCCTTGAAAAATTATTACATTGGAAAATTGCAGTTTAAGATATATTTTTTAATTTAAGATCACATATGTTAGGCTCCCCATAGCTCTAAAGGATGTTGAAAGAGGACTAGATGCATATGTTTTATACAAATACAAAAATTAAGAATTTTAAAAATTAAAATAAAAGATGCATTTGGGGAAACATTGGTTTAAAGGTAAAAAGTTTCAGATATACATAATAGATAAATTTTGGCACTCTATTCTACAGTATGGTAACTATAATAAATGTATTATAAACTTGAAAGTTGCTAAGAGATTAGATATTAAATGTTTTCCTGACATAAACACACACACACACACACACACACACACACACACACACACACACTGTTAACTATCTGAGTGATGAATGTGTTAAATTAGCTTGAGTGTGATAATCATTTCATAATGTATACAAATATGAAGACATCACTTTGTATACCATAAATATGTACTTTTACATATCAATTATACCTCAATAAAGCTTGAAAAAAATCAAAAGATACTTTTATAAATCACTAAAATGGATAACAAAAAGCTATGCATTATTTGTTATTGAGGAAGATATTTCAAAGACATACCGAAGTATAATACCGATATATTTAAATAATTTAATAAAACTAGAATTATTCCTATTTTATAAAAACAAGTTTATTAGTGAATATATTTACCCCTTCAATAATTTTCATAGGAGTTATTTTATTTTGGAGAATCACTTTTAAAACTTACTGGCTTTTGGATGGCAATGGAAAATCACTAAATCAGTATTGCAAAGTGATAGCATTTATTGGTATCCTTTGAAATGCAAAATGTAATGCGTTCAAGACACTTTCAGTCTATTTTCTGGAACATTGGATTTTTCCTGTTGAATAAATATTGAAGAGCTAATTCTAATAAGATTACATGGATAGGGAAATGAGTAGTTTTCTTCCCTACTCTTGGGATGTGTGTATCTCTTGAAAAGCGTTCTTGTTTGTGTTCTTGCATGCAGACTCATTTCGTCCAATCTTTCACACTGATTTACAAGTCTTCAGTTGTTACAGGCAGATCTTTAACACTGTTTCAATTTTTTACTCGTCACTTTTTTTGTTTTGTTTTGTTTTTCATGCTTAGCAGTTTGTTCTTTACAATGGAGTATATTGTGAAAATATATTAGCAAAAGTAAGAGGGTCTTTGGAGCTCCGAGAATTGTTTCCTAGCTTTTGGAAATCAAGAGCGTAAGAATATTTCCAGGTTAGGAAGGACAAACTCAGTATTCTTTAACTTCACAGGCCAATGTCCCTTTTGCTAAGAAAAATTATTTTCTTTCTGACTCAATAATTTTTTCAAGTCCTATTTAATTGAGGCTACTTGCCAACTTTATTCTTGAACATTGTTCTTTATGCTCTTGTAAAAAGAAGTAGGAAAAGATGCAGAGAGGGGATATTAAGAAGAATGGGCTCAGATACTTCTGCAGAGTTCTGATGAGGAATGGGAGGCAAAGGAATCAATGCCAAATCTGTTGGTTTGGGAGATGTGACCTCAATGCTTTAGTTAAAAAATATAGCAATAGGATTTCTCTTAAAATGCA